AAGCTTTGAGCCCTCGATGAAATAGATAAATAGGCCTATCGTTACTTGCTCGTTCTCGGCGATTAACTTGCAAGTCTATTTCTTGAAGCATAAAAATAAAAACAGATTAGACCTTTTCGTTCGCACCTTTTTCACTTACTGAACATATCTTCCTCCGTCTGAGGGTGCGATTTGCTGCAATCAAACCAGTCGTGACACTGACAAAATTTCCTTCCGCAACTGCAACAAGAACAACAACAGTAATGACTTATGACGTCACCTTGCTCAAATTAGCCTGATTCGTCATATTCCATGGATTCTTTTAAAAGGGCTAATTTTGGACGAAAATTGTTTATGATTTTTGTTACGGTAGAAAGGTATAATTCAATATCGTGTACTTAGTTCACGTGGTTATCAAAATGAACTTTTGTTAAATTTTAACTATTGTCCTGTTCTAGCTTTCAATTGGTTGCAACATTGTCCTGTTATCATTGGCAGTGGCGGAAACTGCAGGGGTGTGGGAGATGGGGGGGGGGGCTGTAGGGTTACAGTTTTACCAAGAAGGGCTAACAAATTGTAGACTGAGAGGCGTAGTCTAATCATACCTTCAGATAATTTTGGTAAGCCAAATCGTATTAAAGTTCCCCCTCAGATCCGGTCCAAACAACATGATTTTTTCATTATAAACTAATTTAAAGATGAAGACTTCAATTCTGACATTTTTTCAACTTTTTTCATTGACATCCTCCATCTTAGTAATTTTTGTTACTAAGACGTAAAAAACACTGTCGAATTCAGTGCAAATTCAAAGTGGCTGCACAAAACTACAGCTTGATGCTGGGCCAGTAATATTCCCTTTATGCCCTTCTTTACCAGAAAAAGAGATAACTTCCAAATAACGTATAATCCCAAAAATTGCAAACTTTTCAATTAAAAAGTGCGCACATGAACAAGAGGGTGTTTTGAGAGTACCTAGGACTCAAAACCCGGAAAATAGTTATGAAAAACGGAAAACCAGGACTTGGAAATTGGAAAATCCTGAGACAAATATGTATATTTCAACGTGGTTCACCTTTTCCTGTGTTCTGCATTAAAAGACCTTCGTACCCGCAGTTATTACCAGCAAGAATATTTGCCTGCAAGGCACAGGGTAGATCCTTGCCTTTTTTCTCCAAATAAAGATGTCATCAGTGTTTGCAGAAGAACAGAATTTTAGGGAAATTTGTCGTAGATTGCGGAAATCTGGCAATTTCTCAACGGAACGAGGGAATTCTACACACTTGACGGACGCAGATTTTTTCAAAATAATACACGGATTGCAGAAATTTCAAAATGTTTAGCGGGATTCTTAACCTGCTCCTTGATGGATAGGATTTCATCATCGCATGTTTTGATCTTGTTAACTTGTAAGTTGTTCATAAATAAACTTATAAACATTCAGAAGTGGCTCCAGAAATCTTCCGACAGAGGGGCTGGAGCTTCCAACAGGGGGGGGGGCTAAATTTACTATAATATGCAGTTTTCGTACGTTACTTTGTCAAATTTGCTCCGACAATAACCTAAAATTTTCTTCCGATAGGGGGCTGGATGCTTCCGATAGAGGGACTGTCGCGCCCTAGCCCTCCCCTGGCGCCACCACTGTATACATTCTATTGCCCAGTTGCCCCCTATCTGCTATTTTTTACCAGAAAGTACTTATTTCCACATTGTAAGAGCGTGTATGTTGAATAAAAGTTGTTCAGCATGAAACAGTCTTTCAGAATATGTACATAAAATGTGGTTTTAGCGACATCAAAATTTGAACCCCTGCTGATCAGTGCGCCATATGGGATTTGCCCAAATAAGGAATTCCCAATGTCCAATTGATGGGACTTTTTTCTGGTTATTCCCAGTATCGTATGGAACCTATGTGCCAAATTACAGCTTTTAATTATTTTTGTCCGGGTAAAATCATACTTCCACCACACCATTGCTTTTCGCTTGAATTCTATGGTTTCAATCTCCTTTTAGTCTATAGCTGAAACTATTTCATCTATTTTAGTTTCATATTTTTGCCTTCTATAAGGTAAAAAATCAATTTTGGAAAATCGTTTTAAAACTTTAAAGCATACAAAAGCTTTTCGTCTGGCATTCTTCAGTGTAGTAGCTCAACCAATAAACCGAAACATTTCGTCTCGGTTGGTAGGCTTGTTGTGGCCGACTCGTTTTGTAAAAAAACTTGATCACTTTGAAGCTTTGTGAAATTGTGAAGGTAAAGGAAGATGCATACATAGATGGGTGAGGGCTTAATTGGCTTAACGCATTTAATTTCAGCTTTTGTTTTTATCAGGATTTTTACAGCACATGTTCTTAAAGTCTTGCTGTTAAAGGCAGTCTGTCCCCTATTGTGCTCAACTTTATTTAAACGGGAGTGAAATTCACGCAAAGTTGAGCTTGATTGATAATTAAACGATTTAAACCATTCAGATTAAACCATTCAGAGACAACTTAGATTCCAGAGATTTTTAATCAAATGGCTGTGTTCCCCCTTGTAGTGAAGCTGTGGCTAGAAAAATATGGCTCCCTGTTTGGTTTGTGCGACAGATATGTCAACAGCTAAAAGAAATGCTTCCATTATCATCATTTAGTAATCAAATCTTCTTGCCATTACCGATAGCTTTTTGCTCGCAGTTTCAAATGTCGTCCATTACCGCAGCTAGGCCAGCCAAAGCAAGCATCGTAATCCGTTATCCGTTGCACTATCCGTTGAGGCGGGAAGACCTTTTTTCATATTAGCCAATCATTGAGGGTACAGACTGCCTTTAAGCTGTTAACTACAGGGTCAAATAGACAGGGCAGACTCCACTACACCTAAGGATGGATAATGAAAGAGGCTGATATTTATGACAGACAGGCATCAGCTGTATGAGACATTCCAAGAGACAGAATAAACATAAAAACACAACTAATTATTCCAAAGCCAGTTTAAATAATTTTTTTCAACATCACCATCAATAAATGTCAAAAAAGGTTCTCCACCAGTTAATCAAATCTATAAACATGAAACGATTTGTTTTGGTCATTCTTTCTCGTGACAACCATTTCCTAGAGGTTTTGTTATTTAAATACACTACCTTAAAAACTTTGCATATTTGCTCATAGCAAAACATAAAAGAAACATGCCATGAGATGAGTAAAGCTTATTAATTTCAATTAAAAGGTGTCGTGTAATGAGATTTAGGTAGGTGGTTCAATCCAAATTTTCAAAAATGTACAAAACTTGTCTGGGAAGGCAAAAGATGCTTCCCTTTCAAATTCAAAAAGAGACTTTTTCACTTTTTGCATTTGTAACGATTGTTCATTTGCATGGCTAGCAATATGTGGTCTTTAATCTATTGAAAATTTTCAAGCAAAGCAGTTTAGGGAAGTGGAGGCGGTTAATAGACTAAGCACCCAAATATGAGCGAGGCCAATGTACCCAACAGCTGCCGTCCCCCTTCCCATCCCACACATTTTAAAGGAGTTGGAAGTCCCTGGTTTCTGTATGAAAGTATTGACTAATCGTTTGGATTCAGTCTTCTTATCCCCTATCTTTTCGATTGGTAATAAACATCTTTAATGTCTTTTGAAGCGCTGACTCCTCTCCTTCTTCGCGAACCTGAGCATTTAATCTGATGCTTAATCATCTTCCATAAGGAGAACTTCATGTAACACCCAACCTGAGCGTCCTTCGTACCTCTTCCTTTTTTACCGAGAAATATGTAATGATGCCTTCCTTTTGGAGGTGAACATTTTCCAATCATCCTGACACGTCCAATGTGATAACTTCCTTCTGAAACCCGAAGAAATATACCTTCAAGCTGCCGGTAAATGTGATATACGTGGAGATCCAGAAACACGTGTTGCCCGTCATTGTGAAGATACTTGTTCTGGATTTTGGCTTTGACGGCTGTAAACGAATAGGTACAAGATAATAACACGAAACATCGAGGAAACATTAAGCTGATTAAGTAACAGATCAAGTAAGATACTCCTTTCACAGTAGTAAAGTTAAAGAAAACATGGTGGGTGCCAACTTTGTTGAAGGGAAGAAAGGGGAAGAGTAAAAATGACAAAAGGGTAGGAAAAAGGGACAAGCACTTGTTCTTTAACTAAATTCGGAGGCTAAGCCCTCCAAAACGCCATTTCTGCAAAGAATGACAGTCTAGCCGTAAAATGGTCTTAAAAACCTTGTTTTATCTAATTTCAAACAAAGCTTTTTGTGCTAGTAGAAACAAAAAAGATGTTGAAAACTTTTTTTAAACAAATACTCCTAGAATGAATCTATCTGAAAAGACACTGAAAGAGATAACTGAATGCTAGGTACATAACAGCCTTCTGCTGAATTCAAAATGTTATCCTGTTCATTAAAATCGTATATAACGGTGAAGATGTCTCGACCGGGACTAATTAAAATATTTTTGTTCAACAGGAGAAGCCTGGGGCTAGCTGTTTGAGGACGCTGCATGGTACGAACCACCAGCTGAATGGCGGTACAATATAAAGCAAAAGTAAATCACATACCAAAGTCGCCTTTGCAGAGCAGTTCAGCCATTTTCAATGTGCTACACATTCTGCAATCTAGAAAGAAAGGTAAAACCACTTTCTCAATATCGATACAACTGCTCTGGAAATTCTTCATAATGAAAAGGCATTGGGGTATCTTTTACACTTAGTAAGAGGGAAGAAACAAAGAAGATAAAAAGGGGAAAGGGGGACAGGAGGGAGAGGAAACTACGAGGGAAGAAAGAGGGAAAAAGTGTTGGACAGAGGAGGGAAAGACATGGGAGAGAGGAGGCAAAGAACAAGAAGTATGGGAGAGAGGAGAAAAAAACGCGAGAGAAAGGAGGGAAAAGCGTGGGAGAATGGAAGAAAAGGTGCGAGAGAGAGGAGGTAACAAGAATGTTCCACCTTTCTTTTTTAAAGAGCCTTTGCTTATAAATTTGGGTGGAAATGAAAATTAACTGAATTAAGGTGTACTTATTACATTTAATAAAATTAACTGAATTAAGGTGTACTTATTACATTTAATAAAATTAACTGAATTAAGGTGTACTTATTACAACTAACAGATATAATTGATTCAGACCTTGAGCTGGTGATTTCTGCTCTTTTCGTTCAAGTTCATAATCAATTCGCAAGACATTGTCACTACTATCTGTACCCTCCGTAGTACGTGCAACGACATAGAGACCAGCCTCTCCATCTTTTGATCCTATATTGATTGCCGATTTCGGATCGTACTCTTCGAAGCCTCTAAGAATTTTCAAGCCATTATCCACTTCTTCATAAAAAACAGCAAGGTCCTTTTTTGATATCAAACGAACAGAGAAATCAGATCCAAGAAGATCGACAGGGGTTTTGAATTTCACTTGAAGTCCCCCTTTGGGCTGGCGCCACTCCAAAAATCCTTTTGAACAACGAAGGTCTACAGGGATGACTCCAGGGTTGGTTTCATTGCTTCTCTCATAGCTAGAACGAAAAAAAGGACTGTGAAGAGAAGTTGAAATTTACAGAATTATTGCAAAAAGGGTACTGAAAACAATGTAGCAAATAAGAAACACCGCAATGAGACGAGAATGAACAACAACAAATACACGTAAATCAGTGAAGGCTACTGGAAACAAACCTTTTTTTTAAAGCATAATGAAGACAAGAAGTCTCAAAATTTTAAACGCAATTTTTCAACCCCTACCTGTCCTGCTATTCCAGTTAGCTAATGGACACGCTTTTTTGTGTGCACAACCACTATAATTACAAGTGACGTACGGATTGCCGAAAGAACCAGTCAGGTTACATTTCGAAAGCAGTTTCCTTTCAATATTCGGTAATAACTACACAGTAGCTTGCAACTTGGGAATTTGGTAGGGTGGGTGGGCTCAGACAGCCTTTTTAGGCCGAAGAAATAACTGCAAACAGCAGAAGATATTCGCTTTTTAAGAAATATGCTTTGAGTAGTCATCTAGCTAAAGGTGCAAGAATGGCTCAGTAGTTAGGGTCGCAGACTAATGTGAGGATGTGAGTAATGAGAGACTGGAACGAGAGTTATTGTTATTGTGAATAGTGAACGAGAGAGAAGAGACGGAAGTTGAAGTGGAGATATAGGTTGGATAAAAGCAGAAGACGTTATAAAATTAAGTAAGAGAATATCGAAGAAGAAGAGAATCTTAATTATCGTTTATATTTGTTTTCCTACTTGCATGCTTCGTCACACTAAATATCTAAGGGTCTGAAGTTTGTGTCCCAGACAGGACCAAATTTTCACCCAGAGTAAGGGGAGTTGCCAGCTCTCTGCATTTCCAGGCACATAAGTCACGAGGCGTGGTCACATTAAGAAAAAGGACCAGAACACTTCTCGATAAGCATAGCTTCTCAGTGTTCAAAAAATTACCTTCGCAAGCTGGGTAGTAATCAACACAGTCTCATTTATATAAGTTCATTCAAATTCTAAGAGGGATGGCAGGCTGCCACCTTCGCAATGGCAAGCTGGGTAGTAATCAAAACACGATCTCTATCAAGAGAGCATTTTGGATGGGTTTACTGTAAATTGACGAGGTCGGAATGCATAATTGTATAACACAAACTTCATTTCAATCCATGAGCCAAAAATTGAATATGGGTGTTTATGATTGAAACTGTATGTGTGACGTGGTCAAGTAAAAAAAATGCAACGGTATACTGAATGAGCTTAGGGCGAAAAAATATTGTCTTTATGGCTTCCCTTTCAATCTTGGTTAATCACACTTCTTTGATTAATATGTCTGGATAGTATATTTTTGCCTTTTTCGCCCCTTCCTAGAGTATGCCTGCCTAGTGGGGTGCGAGGGATGGTAGGCTGCCACAGGCTTTAAGCAAATGGGGTTCAAAAGGTACAATTTTATTTTGTTTGAAATGATTACATTTGGGTTTTCTGAAAAAATACTGTCGAGATTTAGACAAACTTATATTTTAATAACGTCATTAGAGGAATCGCTTCAGTTACCAGTAGATTTGGGGGCATTACATAAACCCCTTATTCACAAAAAAACAAGGTAAAGATTTCAATACTAAAAGTTGTTATATTTAAATTTTTTACATGAAAATCATGCTAAAATAATCTTTATATACTTCAGTACTTTATACATTATAGAGCACGAGAGTCTTTTGAAGTTGGTAATTAAGAATTCTTAAGAATTTTTTTATCGTTTGTGTCATTCATATTGATAGAAACGTTTGATACAAACACAAAAGCGACAAAGAACTTACGTGCGCTGCGAGCGAAGCGAATCAATTTGAAATACATTTCAGAATTTTTTTTGCAGTCATTTTCTTGCAACCGTTTACAACGTTTTTAGGCAAACTTTGGAATTCCTTGCTTTAAGAGGCCTCGAGTCCCTGGGGCAGCTTGCACCTCCCTGTCCCCCTCTCAGCGACCCTGTTCATATTCCACGCATCCCTTCCTAAAGCTCTGTCTGTATATGTTGACCTCTAAGTCTCGAATTCTAAATTATGAACTTGAGTCTTCATGTAAGTGAGGGATTTTTTCGCTAAGGATCCTTTTCACATAAAATATATTTTCCTGGGTTTTACAAACTCTCTTGAAAGGGGCCCACCGGGAAATCTCCCGGTGTCCCGCCTAGCCACAACGCCTCTGGATTTAGTGTTCTTGCAGTGCTGATATGATATTTCACAACCTACGCTAATAAATGTTGGGAGAATATTTCTTAATGTTTAGTGTTGCCCATTCGACGATTGTGAATCATTAAAGACTGCCAGAGGACGAATATTTAATGTGTTCGGAATCAAGTTAATTTGAAATCAAAAGTGGATATAAAGTGTTTATTTAGTATTCACTATTGATTGAACGGATTGCTAATAAGATGAATATATTAATAAAATTAAATACTTTACCTGTTATATTGCCAAATGCAGGTATTGATTTTCTCCCCAACAGTGTATAAAATCGGGATAACAAATAATAATATTGAATGTTTTGTCAAAGACAACGACGACATGTTAGCCACCTTGGAAATCCAGACGGTCGTAACCTTCCACGTTAGAAGACAAAAGTTTTATTTACACGCATCTGAAAACTCTCTACAAAAACAAGCTTTCACAACATGCAACAGTTGTTTGCATAACATCAGCCAACGAAAATGTGAAATTGGTTTCTATCTGGCAAGAGATCGACGAACACAAACTTGGTAATTCCAGCGTCAACCGTCCTCACCGTGAGAGGAAACAATGTTGTTCAACACAAACAGAAACATTAAGCATTCAATAAGCATTTGTCAAGGCCGAAATAAATTGTAAAGCGCGTGGCTTCTTTTCTTATGCTAATTAACCCACATTGTGTTCCCTGACAAAAGTGTTTATGGCTTAGGGGGGTTAATCCCGGATTACAGAAAAGACCTATGAAATATGTTTGCATTTGATGAACTGGATCTTTCTTCAATGGCCGAACCTGTTTTATTTGGATATAACTAGTCACACTAATCCATATTTAGTCTTTGCAAATGTTATCTTACCTTTGTTCGAGATATTCAATTGACCTTGGATTTAATTCATCCTCAAAGCACAAGAAAGCAGGGTACCTAATTCTGATGCCCAGAAAACTCTACTGAACTGGTTCATGTCTCTCAATTTTCGAGCAGAAAGAAAGAAATCGGGGGATAGGGGAAAAGATAAATGGAGAACCGAGACAGTAACTTCTTCTTTTCTTCTTTTTCTTCCTACTATTTTATTTTCCTACTATCAAAATAGAGAGATTAGAGACTTTGTTGAAGAGAGATAGAGAGGGTAGATGGACAGAGACTTTCTTTCTAGCATAAAAAGTACCCTAAAAGTGCCCCCAAGTTTAGGATGCTTCCGTTCGACCCTGCAAAGAGGAATTTTATTAACGCGATAGTTTTATTAACAACAAATGGTAGAAACATTTAAAGTTTAGTATCTTCGTTCCTTGTTAGTTTAGTAAGTTTCTTGAACTTAACTTTAAAGCAAAGCTTCTGCAATCTGACTGGAAGAATATATTACTCATTCTATATTGCGATTGGTGTTTAACAAGGATCTACTCTAGGCCTAATGCTAACTTCTTTACTATTTGAAGGATTTGCCATTTACATTTATCTTAAATAAAATCTGTTGTCCAAAAAATTATTTCATCAACAAACTTTGTGGCGAACTCAATTTTTAAACAACAAACAACAGCTCAATTTTCTAGTTCATAGTGCTCGAGGACCACCAGATGCAAATTTTGACAAAATTTATTAAAACATGTTAAGGGTCTTCGCTGAATATCATTGCAAATTTCACCAGAGGCAGCTCATTGCTATAATAGGCTTTAATTCAATTGAAATAGGTAGAAAGACTGAGATTGCTTAGAAGAGCCAAGCGTAATATGACATGGTCACTTCTACTTTATATCACAGAATATTCTGTGCCTAGATACAACATCTAAAGATTGAAAAAGTGTTTATTGAATATTTCTCACGCTTTCATGACAAATGCCAATGCATCAAGCTGATCAAATGGGACACTAAGCCTGTATTATCCATAAACTCAAAATAATTTAACCAAGCAGAATAATCCTTTTTAGTACATTCTCAAGTAATTCAAATATATAGGGCACTGGGCCAAATATCCATCCTGTTGGTTTTTTTCAGTGTCCTAATAAACTAATTTATTTTACCCTATTAGTTTGGAATGTAAATCTAGAACTGCAATCTTACGTTAGTCGCTAAAATAGCAAATGGAAAACGTGATGTTGAAAAATAACTTGAATTGAATTTTACTTGTACTATATACAGTTGAAAATGACTTGAAGTAGTATGGTATGGTCCCCTATTTGGTGGAACTTAATGAGTCATAATGTAATGAAAGGTTCACTACACTAGAAATTCCCAGACTATCGACAGAAGCTTCGCAGCTGTGACATTATTTACAAATCACGAGGAAACAGAAATTTGGTTACACCTCTATTGAGAAAACAGAGAAGGGAATGATAAAGAATGTTAGCATGGAACTTTGTTTGTTGTCAGAAAGAAAAATACAGATTCCTTTTTTATTTGAAAATGGAATCGGCGAGACTCGTGGGACACAACTATTATTATTACTATCCGTTTGTTTTATGTTGGAAATAAATAAAATATCACAGCAATAGCTTACAGTAGCGAGCAGTATTAGCAATGAGATGATTAACACCAACATCTACAAAAACAAACTTGCAATATCAACATAATCATAATAATTAACAATAAAAACAATAATAAAACCCAAAATACATGTATGCTCTAAAATATAGTAAAATGTACAAAAACCCAGATTTTTTTTATAGAACAGTAGATTGCCTAGAACAGTCCTTGCAGGTGAAAAATTTCGTAGGGGTCTATCTTTGGGGACAAACCAAAAAAGTTTCACCGCCAAATCGTTATCAAATCAAAATTCCTTGCAACATGAGTAAGTCATAGCTGTTTATAAAAATACCTTTTTTGTTTACTGCAATGTGGTGAAGCTCAAATCGCTTCACAGAAGTGTTTTTAACAATATTCTGTTCCAGTTGTCTTTGAGGGCCATTTCAGGGACAGTAACATATGGACAAAGTTAAGTCCTTTGCTACAAGGATAAATTTGAATGGCAGTATCTCCAACTTGCTCATTTATAATAGGTCATCAGGATAAAGTGAAGGTCATCAGTTAAGGAGGATTGCAAAGTAAACGGTTATTCAGTTTACAAGTTCTTGTTTTGGGTGCTTTATCAAAATAGGCAGGTCTCCTTGTTTCAAGCGAAAGGTCGAACTTTGACATTGATTGCCATTTTCATTTGTTTTAAATAAAATCTGTTGTCTAAAAAATTATTTCAACAACAAACTTTGATGTGAACTCAATCTTAAACAACAGGTGCAAATTTTAACAAAATTTATTGAAACATGTCAAGGGTCTTCGTTGTTTATCATTGCAAATGTCACCAGAGGCAGCTCATTGCTATAATATAGGTAGAAAGGTTGAACTTGATTGATCAATTTTCGAAATTCAAAAGCACGTACCACTACCAGTGTGGAGGCAAAGAATATCAACTCTGTTTCATTAAGCCTGTAAAACCTAAAGACTAAGAGCCCCTGCTAAACTCTATTCAAGAAGTCGCGAGAAAGATCTGGAAAAAGATTTATTTTTGAAATATTTATGCCTTCAGGCAAAACGTCTTCAAACTTCAGCTATTAACACGTAACGACAAAGAGTGCATAAAAGTAGTTCTATCAGGTTTTCAGATAGATCAAAATCTAAGGTATCTTGTATATTTGAAGTGTGTTTAGTTTTGGAAATTCCCTTCTTTGATACCAGTCATTTCGTTATTGGGTCCCATTAGCTTTGGGCCCTGGGCGATAAAAGTCATAAATGCGGCCTTCTTGCGAAATGCCAAATGCATCTGGCAGTATGAGCAACAGGAGACGAGAGTTCTACTACCGGACTACAACCCCCGTATTTTAAGACTAGAAATCACCCATATTTAATTAAGATGCTGATGATACATTCAAAACACCAGAACTACCATCTTTAAACTCAAACGAGTTGGAATATTGGCTGCTTTCGCATATGTTACCAGGTTATCAGTGAAAGAGAATGTCAAACCAAATAAGGTTCATTGGTTAAACTGAATTTGTACTACAAACCTGTTCAGTAGCAGAAATGTTGGCTGTGAGATGGGGAATTTGTTTGGTTAGGGGATAGGTCATGGGAATAGGTGGAGGAATAGGTCGAGGAACTAGGTCAGAGGGAGATTTACTAACGTTTTAGCCAATGAGTCATGAGTCATGAGTCACAATGAGTCGCATGGGTTGCAATGGGTCGCAATGAGTTGCAATGAATTGCAATGAGTTGCAATGAATTGCAATGAATTGCAATGAGTTGCAATGAGTTGCAATGAATTGCAATGAGTTGCAATGAGTTGCAATGAATTGCAATGAGTTGCAATGAATTGCAATGAGTTGCAATTCATTGCAATGAGTTGCAATGAATTGCAATGAGTTGCAATGAATTGCAATGAGTTGCATTGAATTGCAATGAGTTGCAATGAGTTGCAATGAATTGCAATGAGTTGCAATGAATTGCAATGAGTCGATTAAACTCCTAAGACAATTTCCTATGCTGAATAGAAATATGACATTCAAATTTGAATGTTTACTTAAAACCATAAAAAAAGACAAGCACAGCTTGCCAAAAACTAAGAAAAAACAGTGTAATAGCAGCCTCAACCAGATCACACTGGGCCCTCTCACATAACCATAACCTTGTGTCATTAGGAGATCTGAGATCCAGTTTGTTGTTAAAATAGTGCGCCCAACTAGAGAGGGGCGTGTGTCCGTATAGATATACTATACTGCTATGTATAATGTATGGAAACATGTATATATGTTGTCTTTTATAATTCTGAGTCCTTGCTACCTCATCAGCCAATCCACCAGGTAGAGCATTTCGGGGCTTATGATCAGTATGCTCCTTTACACCTGGGTGCCCCCTCACCCCTGCTTCCAGGAATGATGCCAGCAAAGGTGTATCATTGTACCGTACTGTTGTATAGAAAAGAACGAGATATCCAGGTCCATGTGTATCGGGTTTATTCATGTAACCCGGCCATAAATGTATATATATAAAATGTATTACTGATATCAACTCACGACTCTTGACTCACGACTCACTGACTCAAGACTTAGGCAAACTCGGTCAGAGGAATAGTTTGAGGGGATAGGTTGTGTGAAAAAGTCGGGAAGGTAGGTTGAGGGGATAGGTTGGTGGGATAGGTTGAGGGAAAGGGTCGAGGAGACAGGTCGAAGAAATCGGCTGAATGAATAGGTTGAGAGAGAAGGTTGATAAAACCGGTCGAGGGAATCGGCTGAGGGAATAAGTTGAGGGAGAAGGTCGATGGGATAGGTTGGTGGGATAGGTTGGGGAAAGGGTCGAGGAGACAGGTCGAGGGAATTGGCTGAGGGAACAGGTTGAGGGGATAGGTCGGAGGAGTAGGTTGAGGGGGTAGGTCAGAGGAATAGGTTGAGGGGATAGGTTGTGTGCATTATACCCTGGGTACAAGAGCCACCCAAATTTGAGAACGGAAACAGAAGATAGGAGATGAGAAGCGGATGAGCGTCTATCTGGCATCCAGGGTATATGAATAGGTCTGGAAAATCGGTCGAGGAGACAGGTTAGGGGAATAGGTTGAGGGGAAAGGTCGAAGAAACAGGTCGAGGGATTCGGCTAAGGAATAGGTTGAAGGAATAGATGGAGGGAATGAATAGAAGGGAATGAGTCAAAGGAATAGCTTGAAGGAATAGGTCGAGGGAATAGCACAAGGGGAAAGGTCGGGGGAATAGGTTGGGGTAATAGGTTGGGGGAATAGGTTGAGGGGATAGGTTGGGGGATAGGTTGGGGGGATAGGTTGGGGGGATAGGTTGAAAGGATAGGTTGAGGAAACAGTATGATAGTATGAGATTGAGGTTATAGGTGGTGGGAATAAATTGAGAGAATAGGTTGAGAAAATAGGTCGTAGGAAAAGGTCGAGATAATAGGTCGAGATAATAGGTCGATATAATAGGTTTAGAGAATATGTTGAGGGAATGGGTGGGGGAGTACTGGAGTAGGTTGCTAGAATTGGTTGCGGAAACTGAATGACTTAGCAGCTTTAAAACTGAAAATTTTGGCGGTATCATAGAAACATGTACTGCTCCTAATAAGCAAATGTCTGTCTGTCTCCTAACTCCATTTTGACATTGTACCTCAGTCAATACTTATCCCAAAGTTTCATGAATTCAAATTCCTTGCAAAGGAGAGAAAATGCATTTGCCCAATAATGATATACCTCTTCAAATAAAATTTTCTTAAATGTGTATGTCCCATACTGGAAAGTATGAAATTGGTATGCCAAATATGTATGCCAAAGATAATCTGTGATGCCCCTACTTGCACCTGTACTCCACTCTAACCCACTAAATGTATGCCAAATTATGTCACTTTTTGCCCCAAGAGTAAGCCAAACACAGGTCTTACAGTCAAGTATGCCTGCAAACCAAAACTGGAGATTGCTGTGTGCCACAAATTTGTGGGACAATGTATGCAGATTCCAGTCTGGTAAATGTCTCAGTTTTAACGACAACAATGACCCAAATAGTTTGGATCCACTAAAAACAACCAGGCAATGAATTATGCCTATATCACTTTTAAAAAAACTATTTTACACAAACTTTCACTTTTGATTTAAGGCACCACAAACTACACTTTAAAAATGATTGACTGTTAGTTTCACAAAATATTTATGTACAAGACGGTCTGTGTATCAGATTCAGAGGAAGAATGCCTTGTGTCAGACATCATAGATGGCTTTAACATTGTTAGGAAGCAAAGGCTTATTACTTTCAAGGTGGCTCTTTCCTGTCTTCTTGATGTACTTTTTCTGGATTCTAGCAATGAAAATAATAAAAAATTCAATTGATGGTCAATCAGAAAACAAATGAAGAAGCAATCTACTCAAGATATGTCTTGTTCCACATTTATTGGCACAGGTGAATATGATAGCAACATCACAAATCAAATTTCAAGCTTTAAAGTGGAGCAGGGGCAAAGATAGAGATGTGCAGTGAAACTCAGATTTTGGAAGGGCAGTAGATGAAATTTCCCTTAGAGATTCCAACAGATCAGCTAAACTTCAAGAATTTCCAACAAATTTGGTTATTTAGAGAAATAATAGCCCCCCTGCCTCCAAAACAATGTGATCTTGGGCAAAGACTCAAATATCTACAACAAATAATTAAAAAATATTCACTCCCATATATGTATTTTTAAAATCAAATTAAACTCAACCAAACTGTGTTTGCCAGATTTTGCACTCAAAGTAGCAGATTGACAACACTGAGAAGATGGATGGACAGAAGCAGTACTTGCCGAATATCATTCACCAAAACCAAGTTATTTTGATATTCAGCTGTTTCAGGTATGGCATTATGTATGGACTTTTTGGTGTTTAGCAATTTCAAATTTTGGTGTGCAGCACTACACTTATCAAATGTGTGAATCTGCCACACTCTGCAGACTGGGGTAAGTGTAGAGGAATGAGACATTTTTTGTCTTTTATTTATTAAACTGCAAAATATTGGCCCTACAATTCCCATGGTCAACCACAAAAATGGCAATAAAAAGGGAAAAACTTTAAAAAGATAACAATTATATATTTAATATAATAAAAAACCTACAGTTATTGCTTGTACACAATCCCAAAATTTTTTATTCTCTTTTGAACAAGTACTCATTATTGCTGATTTTTTACAAAGCATCAACTCTCTGTGATATTCTTCACATGCCTCTAAAGCCCTAAAAGAAAAGGAAGGTTTCATCATCATTACCAGCACACCAAAAAAAATTAGACCAGATTTCCCTTCCCCTTAGACTTCTTATCACCTTTTTTTTATTCACCAATGTCAGTCTGGATTCCATGGTAGTTTTCAACGAGATCTAAAGAGTGCACAAAATATTACCTGGGAGTGCAAGAGTGCATTGTGATTTCGCCTGCATACTTGAATGTGCAAAAAAATTTCTTATGTGTGCATATTTTCCCCGGCACTTATCCTGTTTACATCAACTTTTCATCTCAGGAAAATTTAATGACTGAGAGTTGTGAACTATGCTTACCTACCACTACAAATAATAGCTGCAATTCAAATTCCTAAAAGGTTCTACAAGTAAAGGAATGACTTTAGAAATTATTTATAGAAAGGCCAAAGACATGACTATCCTAAAGGATAATCTCAAGCACGGACGCCAAATAGGGGACAGGGGAAAAATTGTCCAAGGGCCTCAAAAATCTAGGGAGCCATATTAAAAAATTCTATTTTAAGAATTGAATTAATCAAATATAACAGAAGTATGCCTAAAAATATTAAAACCTTTTAATCAACTGCAAGAAAATGACTGCAAAAATATATTCTGCAGTGTATTTAAGCTAATCTAACCTACTCAAAAGATTTTCTGCTCCCCTGCTTTGCCCCAGGGCCACTAAGAATTTTTGGCAGCCCTGATCTCAAGATCATTTAATTTAGAATGACCACTTTTTTCAATCCCAGTTATGAAAAACTTAGGAAATTCATTTTGTCATATTTGAAAAAAGCTTTTTAATTTGGGCCACACCCAAAACCACACCTATATTTTGGGTTTGCAAGAGTGCACTGGTAACAGTGGTGGCGCCAGAGGGGGGGCAGGGGGGGCTACAGCCCCCCCGTCGGAGGAGGCTAGCCCCTCCGTCGGAAGATAAATTATGCTTGAATTTTTTTTGTCGGAGCGAATTTTTTAAGTTTTGGCGGAAATAGAAATTTCTAAAAGGACTGTTATCAGAATTCAGGAAGCTCATCCCAAAACAACTCATCGACACATCAATTTCATGGTAAATAATAATCTGTTATAAGAAGTTTGAATTGGTTGTTTAGATGTTCAGTACCAGGTGTTTTCCGCATGCTGTTAAATTTGATCTTATGTTATGGATAGTGCAGTTCGTCCAAATCTTGCTTGCTATAACCAACCTACAACATCGGAATATTTTTGTGCGATAGCGATATGGCAACAAATGTTACCCGTTTCAGTGTTAGATGTAGTATATGTAATGACGTATTTAACAATGATTACGCTGCCCGCCACACGAAGTCCAAGCACAAAGATTTGGCTGCAATGGGAAGGACTGCTCCTACGACGGCAATAGTTGAAACGGACTCGCAGCAGAGAAAAATAAAAACATTTTTTCAATCAAAAGGCGGTACTTTTCCAAAGAAACGAAAGGTTAATGATTTTGAAACTGAAAGAACAACAGAAGACCCCGAAGAACAAGAAGTTGAAATTTCGAAAATTCAAGACGAAGAGCAAATCGAACGTGGTATGTTATACGTTTTAATATTTAAGTCCTTTTAATACGAGGAAAAACACTTAGCAAAGGGCTTCAGCCATAAAAACAATCAAACTCATTTACGTAGTAGCTAAGCCATTTTACCCCATCCCAACCATACATATTTGTAGTGTTTTGCTTCTACGTACACGTTTTTTTATTTATAAGAAACTTGACTCAAGCCCAGAGTACTAATAGTTTCCAAATTTCTTATTTTTTACTATTTTTAAGGGAAACCATCTATTACTATTTACGATAAATCCTTCTAGTTTTTTTTATAAACAAGTTCCTTATTAAGAAAAAAACGTGTATTTTTATAGGAAACCTAGCTCTCCAGAAATTAAAAGTTTCTTATTTTCGGACCTATATAATATGGGATTTCACTGCGACTGCGACATATTTAAACAAATATACCTGGCTATGACTGGATGAGGAATAAACCTTGTTAGACGTATAAATTTCTTCGTTTTATTTACAAATAAAAATAATTTTTTGGATGATTTTGATATTAAGAGTCACAAAAGATTGATTAGTAAAAATGCCTTTTTGTCCATCTCCCAGGAGGGGCAAGGGAGGGGGCAAACGTGCCCTTAGTAATATGTCAAAAAACGTAGTAAAAAACACGATTACACCATTTTGATAGCATTTTTAGCCAATCTAATGGGTGTAGCCACCAAAATTTTCCCGGGGGAGTACCCCCGGACCCCCGAATTTTCGGCTCGCAACGCTCGCCTTCGGTCTCCAGTACCCTTACAATTCCTTGTCGCCCCCTAGCCCTATCGTTCTCTAAAAAAATTAGCCCCTCCGTCGGAAGTGCTAGCCCCTTTGTCGGAGGAAACCTAGCGCCACCACTGACTGGTAATTATACAAAAATTTATCGGGAGTGCAGCTGACATGGAATCCATACTGGCACCGATGAATGTGTTATGAATCATGATTTACATACAGTATTACTTACTGACACCATCTAACTTTCTTTATGATTGCTTCTTTGCTAAGTTCTTTCTTTTTAAACAACTGATCAAAGGCATTACCCATTGCCACCGATAATGGTGGTCACGTTCTGGGAAATTTGCTGACTTTGTTGTCTCTGCACAGGAACGAGATCAAATGTAAATGGCAGCGGATTCACAGTTGTTTCAACATTTAGCTCTCTGTCTGCATCCCAGAAACAAAGTCCATAGTTATTCTCCCAATTTGTTGGAACATGTGATATGATACCTGAAGGTGAATCTTTTGATTTGCTATTGAAAATTTTGTCTTTGAAACTTAATTGGTGTCATACTTGTAATATTTTTATAATTCTGTAATAGCTGCAAATGACTTGAAATTTCATTTAACTCAACAACAACAATAGTTAGTTACAATATATTTTGGTTTAAAATATGTGTACGAGAACAATATTAAAAAATAGCCTATCTAAAAGAGCTTGAAAAATCAAACAAAATGAGCCGTCACTGGCCATGATAGGAGCAGTATTTAATGATAAAATTTCAAAAATATCATAGGAAATTGTTGATAAGCTAGATCAAAATACATCAGAAAACATCACCAAAAACTGCAATTCATAGTTATTAGGTGATAGTGCCATTAAATTACCAAAGATGACAGATATTGCCAAAGAAACCCAAAACTAATACCAGGGCTGGAAAATTGTCCAGCAGCAGCGCTGCCAGGAAATTTTTAGCACAAAGTCATTGCAGGAAATTGTTGCTGTTTGCCAGGAAATTTTTATTGTGAAATCTTCATTATGTACTTGATTTTAATTTAAAATTAAATTTATGTTACTCTCTTTCTATGGAACACTGTTTTCATGTGAATGGTTGTTCTGCACCACTTACGAAAGACGAAGATTATCACATTTATTAAGATTGTCGTAATATCATGATTATCACATTTAAATAAAGTTTTAAAAGGGGCTACGCTATCAAGTTTTATTAGCTGGGTTAAAGCCAAACCTTTCAAATTGGCATGGCCCAGTGAACAATTGGAGCCCCCAAATAAATGTTAATTACCATCTTTGATGGCTAGGCTGCCAGATGAAATTATAGATGTGGTAATAACTCGAAGGGCACTGAAGTTTTAGGACACTGAATTTACAAAGAGCTGGGGACTCTCCCACTCTGAGAGAAAGTTTGGTCCTGTCAGGACTCAAACCACAAACCCTTTCATCTATTTAATCAGCGACCCTAACCACTGAACCATCCTCCTACCTTATATATAATACTCCCTTGATCCTCTATCATATTTAAGTAGACTGAGTTAAAGTTTGATTTGTTTAATTAACACCATTTTCTTGAAACTTTTGCACACAAGTGACCCACTTTAGCGCTCACTTGCTACTGCTGTGTCCCACTTAAAAGCCTGAATCTGGATCTGTGCTAGGGAAAATGAGATCAAGGACATTACATTTTCTTTTTTCTCAGAGACTGTTTTGAATATTGTCAACCAGTAATTGTGACTATAAAATCTTTTATCCTGAATACATCAGTGCAAGTCATATAACATTTAAATCCTTGTCGACAAAACTCTTGCAGGGTAGTTATATTGGTTTTACTAAAGATCTTGCAGCTCCCCTCTGTAAATGTTCCAATTTCCCATTGGAAGATTGTGGTACTGGGTGCTCAAGGTGGGAATAAAGTAAGCATATCAGGATCTTGGGTAGTTTGGTAATTAGAAAGATTTTGAAGGTAATGTCTGTTTCTTTGCAGGGCTTTTCCAATTTTGAAGCAAAAGCTTAGAGAGAGAAGGAAAACAAAGTATGGCAAAAAGCCATGGAGAAGGGTTTAAGCATAAGATAAAGTCATTGCTTGGGATACGAAAAGCAAATACTATCCAGAAAGCAGGGATTGAGAATGAAGAAGAACATGGTTTCATCTTCTCCCCGGATGTGCTTAAGGTTTTGTAGTTATGATTGTATTTTCAGGCCTTAAAGTGCCTATGACATTAATTTTGACAAGTTTAGAGAAGGGCACAAAATTTGCTGATTTCAATTATATATGTTGAGGTGATTTTTTTTTCTTGTGGAACTGTCTGACAATTTAGGTTGAGTATCCCTTTTCATGTTTTTGACTTTGACTTTTCAATTTTCAGATGGGGTATATATCCTTCTATCATTTTCTGTGTATCAGATTGCCATCTATTGCAAAGTTTCCTGCTATCGTACCTGCTTTCAGCAGAGATGTTAAAATAGGGCCATTAGTGGAGTCATACAATAAAGCATCTTAGTCTCAAAATAGCCCAAGGGGGCAACCTTTAATTGGGCTCTGTATCCTATCTTTTTCAGCATATCAAACTGTCCTATATTGCAAAGTTTCCTGCTGTAGTACTGAAGTATGATTGAGATGCGATAACACCATCTTTAAAAGTTCCGGAGGAAAGTACCCCAGTCTAAAAATAGAAAAAGGGGGGCAATTTTCAGTTTGGTTCTATATCCTATCTTTTGTACCGCATCATACTGCCCCCTGTTGTAAAGTTTTGTGCTATTGTACCTACTTTCAGAAGAGATATTGTGATAACACTGTTAGGGGCTTTGGGCAAAGAACCCCGGTCTAAAGTAGTTAAAGCTGGCAATTTTCAGTTGGGTTCCATATCCTATCTTTTTCATCGTATCAGACTACCCATTTCTGCTGGGTAGTCTGATATGATTAAAATTTCATGCTGGTATCACAATTTGCACAATCATTTGACTAACAGTCCTGGCTAAGTGGTATGGTGTGTTTATGGTGAAGATGGAACCAACTGCAAACCTTGTGACATCACTGATTCTTATGCTTTGTCACTCGCGCTCATTGTTTTAAAACCCCCAGAACAACCTTCCAATGCAAATTTTTGAGTTAATTGTTGTTTTATATTGCAACAACATGTAGAGGTTTCAATTTCTTTGAGATTAAACAATGTGTGAAGTTTAATTTCATTTGCACTTTAATGACAATTTTTGTCATTCGACGTTGATTGTAGTTGTTTTGATTGTTGTTGATTTCTGATGTAATTGTTTTATCTTTTCTGAAACATAGTTACCAAAATAAGATAAAGTGCTTTTAAAACAATGCAGATATTCTTGTCTTTTTGCTTTATTTGATGATGCTGTAGTAAAAGTGAGAGTTACATTAAAGAATCTTAGACCATATGGGGCCCAAAAATTTGAACATTACTTGTTGTTGTGTAGAATTTTTAATAATAATCTGCTTGTTATTTAGGAGATCACCAAGGAAAATAATTTTGGTCACAGAGCCAGAGTATTGAAAGAGTTATGTGAAGTTGTCTCAACAAGAAAACTTGAAGAGGTTGAAATTTGTTTTTGATTTTGTTTCTATTCAGGCATTATTAGAACAGGGAAATATATATATTTTTAAAAATCAACAAAACATGCAAACCCGTAAAGGATTTGTGGCAAGGGGAACTGCTTTTTATATATGATTCAGAAAATGTATCTCAAGAGTTGCATATTTTGGCCTAGGGAGTGGAAAGAACATACCTTTTTATAACAAGAAACTTGAAAAATTCACTGTTCTTTCATTCCCCTTCACAAAGAGTACAATTTTTTTAGTTGAATTGGCCAAAAAAGCTGTGGAAATTGTGTTTTCCTTATTGATCAGTGTCACTGATTACCATATTTTGCTATCTATAAGATGCATAAGACGCACTAGCATTCCATGTTTGAATTAAAAAAAATTTAGTTTTTACTGTGTGTCTTACCATGTATAAGACACACCCCCTTTTCTCAGTTCTTGTAAAGCATGTATCTTTGAGTGAAAGATTAAACTCGAGAATACTCTAGACACTACCTCTGTGGAGGAAAATTTGTTCAAACCTCCTTGTTTCAAATGATCAAGTAGAAAGTTTAACATCATAAAATAAACAAAATCATCATTAACGTCTACATGTTTTAAAATCCATAAAATTCTTGTTTAGCATTGTGTTTTATTCACTTCCACAAGGATTGCAAGGATGTACCCTCCAATTAAGAGGATGCAGGGTACAACCCTTCCATTTGGAAATAAAAAAGCTTTTGTCAGATAATTTTTCTATTGCGTCTTGAGAATTTTCAATATTGTAAAAATTATATCTTAAAAAATGTCAACAAAGTCAGACAAGATTTATAAATTCTGCAACTTTATCCCCTATTTCTGGTACATTTTAAGAAGAAGCCATTTAAAGCTAATTTTTCATGAATATATGTAATTTATGAAATTTTAAAGAGAACTCTTTAGAAGTGCTATTGAGCTCTATTGATGACTCTTTTCAAGTTTGTAAATGTTTTTTGCTAGCATGCTGCAGAAGCAGTTTGGAGTGAGATATCAGATATGCTGCAGCCAACAGTGCCAACAGATGCCAGGCAAACAACCTTGAAGTTTCTTGTCTGTCTGATAACTGGTCAAGTATGTCAACTTTTTGTATCTGTAACCTTTTTGTTGTAAAAAGTTATGAAATATTTTGAAGTTATTTGCAAATTAGAAATCCTTAATGGCCCATATCTAAATTTCTGTGATATATAGCTTTGTTTTTCCAAAAAATGGTTACCTCAAGGCAATGCATAACCACATGTAACCATATTAGTCATTGCATAAGGATTATGATCTGAATCATATGTTCAAAATCATGATTTGCCCCTGGTCACTGGCAGTCTTAGATAAAACAATGAGCTTTCTTGTAATCTTCAAGGCTGTATTGCATTACTTATAGGGAACAATGAATTATTTTGTTCATACTAATGTTAGGTTTTCTTGAAACAAAAATGTGTTTTTATCTTATGAACTCTCAGACTGATAGTTGTCCAAAAATGCATTTGAGGCTTGATCCTAACTTAAAGTTTCCTTAACTCATGTAACAAATCTTAAGTTTCCACTGAAGAATGTTTCCAAACATTGTCTTCTTCAGAAATCAACACCAATCATTGCAAAAACACAATTTTGAATTCAGGCCTTGATGTAGAAAAAGTTTTGATTTTTTCTCGTAGTTATAACTTGATGTAGAAAAAGAAAGTATATGTTCTCATAATTTGTTCAAATCCTGCTTTTTCTTTTTCTGTACTTTTCAGCAAGTGGTCAATATAGTGTTTAAGTTCACCAATCTGACCCATCTCATTATTGCTGGCCTAAAAATGTCATTCAATTTCTTTGTCATTAAGCCAACACACTTTCTTTGACTATGTGATTCGTATATTCAAAGTTATTGATTTCAATATTCCTATACAAACCTACATAGATACATTCATGTTATTTGTACACAACTTTTTGTTACAAACATATGTAAAACACATGTTACACAGTACTATAAATGGAGTATGAAGGATAAATACAGAAAGTTTATCCTTTAGTGCCCATTTCCTAACCAGAAATTCAAGCCCTATATATTTCAAATATCAGAACTCAACAAGTAAGGCACCTAAAAGTGCGAAATTGTCCATTCCCCAAAACCTGAGTCCAGAAAAGTTTTTCGCTTGCTGCCACTTTGTTAAGACTCAACATTTGTCAAATATTGGATGACAAACTAATCAGATATTTTTAAATGATATGATATCTATTAAACTTTGAAGCAGTAAAGTTATCTAATTCGATTATCTAAGCGACATATATTCTGCTATTCTTCCCTTAAAGTTTTATTCTTGTGCCATTTTGGTAATTTTAATGGTTGTCTCAAATCTTCTCTTTACTTTTGCCAGTTTCAATGGCTTGGAATGTTAAGAGCCCAGTTTCTGAGGCTTATTGAAAATCATGACGTGAAAGAAGATCTTAACTGCAGGTAATAAAGACAGCAATCTTCATTGTTCATAACATAACTACTATTTTTATTGCTGCTAACAATGTCATCAATAATTTGGCCAAGGAGCATTTGCACCCTGTCCCATAGCTTTAATTAATGTCCCCTTATGTTGCACTTTGGTAATTGAGCGCCACTCTTGGAGTGACTGTAATGGCCTTCTTCTTTTTTGTCACAAAAACGTCTCTTACGTCTGTCTGTTTTTGATTTTGTTGCTCCATGTATTTAAGCTTCTCTACCTTGAAAAATTGTTATCTGTTGCAGGATAGAGCTGTTAAGAGCCTTGACTGACAATGGCAAAGATGTTTCCTACTGCGAGCATTTTGGTATGTAATATTTTATTCATGATTACAGGCAATTATCCCAGTAAAATTGAATATTCCAGATCGAAAAGAACAAGTACATAAAGGTGCTTTGAGTTTTTGCCATATCATGCACATTTTTTTACATATAGACAAATGCTTTCAAGGCTTAGTTACTGCTGTAAACCGTTGACAACCTTTTGAGATTATTGGTTGCGGCCAGACCTGCTACCTGGCACCTCTCTTATCTAATATTTAAAAGTGAAGATGGGTCCTAAGATTTGTGACTTTAATACGTGTATTGAAGAGCGTTTTTCGTCTTATGCGTAATAGAATATGCGACCTTGCATCTTGGCAAGCAAAGAATCGAGTATAATGTTAAATAATGATAGATAAATGTTGTCCATGTACTGCTATAAATAAGGGCCCTCTTCGAAAAAAATCTTAAAAGGAACGATAAATCATTATTATATACAGTGCAATGTTAGATATAAAAGCTATAGACCGCCCTTTAAGATTTTACTTAAAGATCATGTAGTAAGCTGCACGACTTAAGATCCAGTTGGCATTTTGATGAAACGAGAGGAGTCATGATACCGATTGGACTATATTCTATCCTAACTATAAAAATACAGCTTTATTGCCCGTTTTATGAAACTTATGAAACAACCTATGCCTAGAACCATCTAAGAACATTTAGACATAAGACACTAGGTATCCTTGCTCTAGTATGAGTAGGTACGTGCCTTGAGTATCAACCTGAATTGCGGTAATATTTTTACAAATAATGCTACATGATGTACGTTAATCTGTCTGTCTACAAAACCGACCTAGTTTCAATTACTGCTCTCAATGCCCCTTTGCCATTGGTAAAATAGTTGTAGAAAGAGACGTTTAGGTGACTAAGTTATGAGTAGGTCTTATGGACCGTTTCCAGACGGTGAATCCCGTATTGATCACCCAGTGTCTGCAAACCACTATTTGTTACCATTCTACTGAAACATCCTGAAAATTTTTATAAAAGCAGAACAATCATTTTGTCCTAGGGCCTTTTCTTCTACGGTTTTCACGACAAGCGTTGACAGGAGACAGGTACCTTTTTGTGTTTATTTGCACCACATGTGCCTTAACTTTTCTCTTTCCAATTTGATGCTTTATGAGCAACTTCATGATTTACAGTTGACATGCTTTTGATGTTCCTCTAAACCCCATAATTTCTCTATGGGTTTTGCTATTATCTCAAATGCAACCACATATGTAATAAGCCCTGTGTGCTTTTTTTCAGGACTGTTGAGTACCTTTATTTTCTCATCAACTTGGTGCATTACAATTCAAGCTTTTTGGAGAAAGATATAATAACAGAATTAGTAGAGTGAGTCAAATATACATTCCACTATTTGTATTACATTTCTCCAGATATGTTTATATTTCATTACTTTTGCTATATTTATTTTATCTTTCGTTTAAATTAGAACAGTTTTTAACAATAAGTATTGTTTAGTATGCAGTTATCTTTTATGCAGAATGAGTACGTCACAAGTCGAGCCCGCACAGCTAGTGAACACCGGGAAATTTTTGTATTTTGCTCCTTAAATGAGAATCTTTTACCATTGCTTTTTATCTTCAGTTTGATAGCTTGTGTTTCTCTTTGACAGACAAGCCTGTGCGTTTTGCAATAAAGCCAAAGTTGAAAAGGAGATAGAGGTAAAAAAATACTTCAAGATTCAGACATAATTTGCCACAGCATACAACAGCCTTTTTAGAGAAACATTTTAGAATACCAAATGGCAGATTCAGCCAGATTTTAAAATGATTACAGTGACGTAGGAAGAAAAGAAAACAAATGATTTGATAGTTTTTTTTTGGTGGCACAATCCCCCCTAAGAACATTAGTAGCCACTTTAAATTAACCACAATGTGTCAAGCTTGCAATTCTTTCCATTTGATTTTATGAAATATTTTTTAGAATGATATTTTGCCATGTCCTCTAATTCTTGCTCGTAATATAGCTTTACAACTTTTGCATGCCATCTTAATTTATATAATGGTTCTTGAGCTCAATTTCCGTACACTTCCAAATCCATCCTTTTGTAAGGTTTCTTCAAGGCTTCTGTTATCACGATGGATCAGAATGCTAGCCAATAGGAAAAAAGGGCCATAACTTTTTAACGGTATTGAACACTGCCAGCCTTAAAGGCAGCCACTGTCGTAGGCCTGTTGTATATATCGTAGGCCTTATGCAATCGATGCATGTATTTTAGCCTTATGCTATTTTTGTGTCACTCATAATAGCCATTTTAAAAAGGGGATAATACATATTATCTTCATTATGACACAATGCCTTTCAAGGAAGAATTTGTATTAGCCAGAGTTTTTATTTCATTGTCTATAATAAAACTTTTTTATCATACTGAACGCCCATTCTCTGATTTCACTCTCTGCTCACTGCTTTAATTGAATTCTCCCATCAACAGCCTTAAAGCCAGCATAATCCCTCTCCCTATTCCTCTATGTTGTCAATTTTAGCATATCTTCATTTGCTTATAGTGTTGTATTCTGCTGCTTGATGCCACTGTTCGTTATGGTGGTTTGCCATCTGATGGCCTGTACCCGTTAATCGCAACCCTTTGTCGCACGGTGAACATCGAAAAATTCTGTCAAGCCAGCTGGAAGGTATCTAAGAATTAAACTATATATCTAAAAACCTCGGTATTCTTTCTATACCTTGAACTTTAAGAGTATTAATGCAAAAGGTCATGTTAGAAACCTTGGCAATACAGTTTTGAATTTGCATTTCTTGGGAAAAGGTCAACATAATTTTTTCTTTGTGTATTTTCAGTTATCTTCCTAGAATATATTTAGTCTTTGTATTTCGTTCTATGTGCAATATCTATTTATAAGATTTGCACATGGTAAGATAATAAGTATATGGACAGTCATTGAAGATAATAAGTATATGGACAGTCATTGAAGATAATAAGTATATGGACAGTCATTGAAGATAATAAGTATATGGACAGTCATTAAAGATAATGAGTATATGAACAGTCGTTAAGTCATTAAACATTGATATATGCAACTAAGCATACAGAGTTTCCATATGTTGTCTAATAATTGCAATATGCATATATGGACCGGGCCAGTCTCGAAATATGCTACTCGCTCCCACTTGATGCATTATTTTTCTTCCATTTGACTAAGCTTTCTTCACAGTACTGTGTACTTTTTTTAAACAACAGAGGGTTATCATCTATAGAGTGCTGGCATCAACAGCCTTAAAGTGTTATCATCTGTTTGTGTGAAAAATGTTTTCCGAATTCTAATGATATTGAAATTTGTTTTCGTTTGCAGCTCATGAAGACTTTGGTAGGCACTCGCCTAGGACATAGCGCCATCTATATCATGTGCTGTATTCTAGAAGACGAGTACATCCTATCTATTCTCTTATTCCTACGATTTTTCTATTTTGGTGCTTTTATTTACGTCATAAAATAAATTGAAGTATATATTATATGCCATCCTTAGTATTGCATATGTCCAGGTGAATAATGTTTGTCTACCAGCAAGTGGAAAGAACATCATGTTCAATTTATTTACCCCAATCAGGAATTTAGTTTTCAAGACATTTCGCTATTTGCTTACCATGGTATTTAAATGAATGTCAATTACTAATCGCCTGCCTAAATACCATTCTGTTGAAACCAATCTAGTAATTCAAATCAGATCGTTTTGGAGTTTCTAAATTACATTGTTTATGGTTGAGTCAAACCCGTAAACTTTCGTATATTTGGCAAAACTGAACATGTGGCTATCTATACTTACATAAAAGATATCATAGTTGAAATTTTTAAATAACAGTGAGCCTAGAATTGAGTCTTGTGGCATACTATGTTCAATGGTTTTCTGCAATTTGTCAGTAGTGCATTTTGCGTTATGTAGACAGCTACGTGGGTGTGGGGACCTAAGCATATGTTCACTTAACGGCTTGCTATAAGCTAGAAGGCATGCCAAAACATTTTCTTACTGTTTTAAATATCTAAATTAACTTTTTGTACAACAAATTTTAAATGGCGCGAAATCGCGGAAATTAGCATTAAGAGTGATGTATTGGCATTAAGAGTAACTCTTATGGAATTCAAATTTATTGTTTTGCACTTTCTAGGAATAATACCAGTGATTCAATACTTCTCCGCGGTGCTGTGTTTTTCATCGGAATGTGTGTATGGGGGTCAAAGAGAGTTTCTTCACTTCAACACAAACCAATTTCGTTGTTGCCGTCATTCAAGCAGGTATCCTTTGACGCGTTTAGTTTTTTGTCAGCCTTGGGTGTCAGCGATCGACAAGGAAACAGTAATCACACTCAATTGTCAGAAAGAACGTCCAGCTACTTTCATCAGAATATAAGTTCTAAAGACGAAAAGTATGCTTTGGTCTGTAGCAAAAGATAGCTTTATGTTGCAACCTCAAGTTTCATGCTTAATGCGACCATCCAACAACCTTAAAACAACTCTCTGTAAACAATTGTTAAAAGCATACCATAATCAGTGTGAATTTTATGCTGTATCCTAGTGCAATCTCCAGTGTCTCTTTTGTAGGCTCTTCATTGCAATCACCCGATTGTTGCCCACGAGATTGGCCTGTCTCTACAAAGACTGGTTAAGAAATACGGAAAGGACCTGAAAATTGTCACCTGGGATATCATTCTAGATCTGATTGATATGCTCATCAAATTGCTGCAGGTTTGTTTAGTGGATTTCAAATTTTCAAAACTTGAATGAATGAACGAATGAACGAATGAACGAACGAATGAATGAATGAATGAATGTATGAATGAATGATTGAATGAATGAATGAATGAATGAATGAATGAATGAATGAATGAATGAATGAATGAATGAATGAATGAATGAATGAATGAATGAATGAATGAATGAATGAATGAATGAATGAACAAATAAGTGAATGAATGAATGAATGAATGATATGATGAATGAATGAATGGATGAATGAATGAATGAATGAATGAATGAATGAATGAATGAATGAATGAATGAATGAATGAATGAATGAATGAATGATTGAATGAATGAATGAATGAATGAATGAATAATTGAATGAATGAATGAATGAATGAATGAATGAATGAATGAATGAATGAATGAATGAATGAATGAATGAATGAATGAATGAATGAATGAATGAATGAATGAATGAATGAATAACTTTGGTGGATGAGTGGAAAGTTTAATAGATAAATGAATAGATAAATGAGTGAGCGAATGGATATGAAACAGTTTCTAATTTTGCATCATTTTTCTCTATCTAGAACCTGGCAAACTCAAATGATTCGTTGAAGAAAACAGTGCACGACCTCCTCACTACAATTGAAGAGCTTTACAGCGCCGGTCGATTCGACGGGTCAGCTGACCGATTCTTTGCCATTATTGAGCGATGTTCTGCACAGAGACCAGTAAGAAGTATTTTGGTTTTCTAGATAGTAAATATGTGTTTTAGCTAAAGAACACCCTGTTGTGTTTCTTTTCCTGATCACATCTAAAGAAGTGATTGACTGTACATCATGCATGCTATCAACCTGTAGAGCAAGCATGCTATCAACGTGGCCATCCTCTCCTTGAAAAGGAATAATTTTCTATTATGGCCGTGGCGTTTTTATTTACTTGGTTTTAAAAAGAGATGTATAAAATATTTGTTTCTCCGATCTCGTGATGAGCATTATGCCAGAGACAGGGAAACATTACGGTCGCACGGCCACTGGCCGGAGGAAGGTCCACGAAAAACAATAGAAGCTCATATGACACACCCATGCCAAGCCCAATTTCTATTGTTTGTGAGGAAGGTTCTGGAATGTTTTTGTCTCTAGGAAAGTTAACAACTTTTCTGGACTCTGCATTATGTAGCAATCTTGTACAAAGTTGAATGTTCCACGTCTTTACGACCCAAGTGTAGCAAACCAAAGGTTATTCAATCTCCTGCCTTTGAAAGAGTGAAATTTTTCTTTTTGTGAATTGTAATCCTTCATGCCTTCCTTGATGGCAATAACATTTTTCTCTGAGAGTATAGAGTATAAATTTCTCCGTTTTTTTCGACAGGAGTCGTCTGTTCTCACCTTATTGACATTCCTCCGTAAAAAAATAGACCCTGCTAATGATGGTTGGCTTGATAAATTAAAGTTTGTGATGGAAAAGTACTTTCGGTAAGTCATTTTCTATGTTTAGTTATCTTTAACTAAGTAGGAACAAAGAAAGATATAGGAGTGTACCCCGAATCTTTGATATGGCGGAGTGCTTTCCGTATCATCAGCCATTCAGTCTCTTATGTGTTATGCTCCTATACATACAACGGGAAACGATATTAATCAATTCCACGATTCAAGAAAAGTGCATTCACCATTGATTCATCGATATTTATAATATTTTCATCATAATATTTTTGTCACTTGTAAATATTCATTCTTATAAATGTATCTAGTTTTGTTACAACTGAGTTGCAACCTTTTATCTAGGCCAATGCAGTACGATTTCCCACTCCTTTTTCATTTAAGCAACGTTATGCTAAATATTTTTGCAATCTTCTCACTCTTATCAAATGACATGTATTTTTAAAGGAACTATTTCTTTCAGGAATTCAAAACAGACTGCCGTGAGGGTGAAAGTTCTTGATATTTTATCAGATGTAATGAATTCTTATAGATATTGGTATGAGGTGAGAATTTTGATAGAAACATTTAGATTCAGGCAGTTTGAGAGTAAAGCAACGTCAATTCACCGGTCGTCACGAGCTAATGGTTTTAAGTATCGCAAGATTTAAAAAACCATGACGATATACTCCACCTTATTGACAAGTAAACTGACTTTTCAAGCAAATGAATAATGTTGAACCTAGTCATCTGTCTGTGGCATATAATTAGCTGCAAATTGAGGGCTTTTCCCGCCTCAAAACTGAATCTCTCAAACCACTGCGTACTGTTATTGTTTAACAGTTACTGAAGATTATTGTAAGCGACTAGGCCTTTTTTTCATTTGCAGCTCATACGTGCAAACCTCATTCCTCCCCAAATGACAGGAAATCCCCCCCCCAATAGGGGCATCGTCATTTGCCCCCTGCAATTTTTTTCAAGATTTTGACCTCTCCGCCTAATCAAACTACTGATAAAAAAATTAACAATAGTACAGATTCATTTCCTTAAGCCCATTTAACAGTTTCTATCTACATAATTGTATTCTGCCAATGCTTCCGTCTAAAATCGCCAGAACAGCTTGCTTTTACTTATCACTCTTACAAAGGAGATTCATTAAAATGAATTTTCTCTGTTTTTTACCATAAAAATCAAATAACAGTGATAAAAAGTGCTGCGAGATAAAAGATAGTCACGAACACGTGCTTGCTGGCAGATGTTCCTCCTTACCATGCTGATTCACATTTATATCTGATCGAGGATGGCAGGCTTGATAAGTAATAAAGTTGTGAACATGAAGATAGAGATAACAGACCTATGTGGCTTTGATTAAAACACTCATTTTGCAGAAATTGCCTTTGCTTTATCAATGCTATATCAACTTGCTAATCTGCCAGAAAATGCAGCATGCAACATTTTTGACCTTGTTTCTTCAAAGTCTACAATACTGTATATAAAACCTCTGAAACCTTGAAAATAAAGACTAACTTCCCAAGCCATTTCTCCATACTCACGATACCCTATTTATAGTCAGAACCAGCATCGATTTGGAGCCAGCCTGATGTTGTTACGCCGGTTCAGTGACGGTTTGAAAACGAATTGATTATCGAAGATATTTCTCGAAATTACTTTAACTTACGCCATCTCTCAATCTTTTTTTTGGCGTTAAGGCATAGAAGGTAAATAAAAAATGAAGCAATGGACTGACCCGAAAAGAGTCTTGAAGATCAGTCTAATTTTGATCCTGTTTCTTTTCGTCATATTTAAATCATTACTGTTGCGATTGCTTTATTTTTAAGGCTTGGACGTTTGTAGAGACAATGGTGATAGTCCCTGCCCTTACAAAACTGACCATTAACATTCCTGGGAGTCGCCCTGTATGTAGAATTATGGCTAGATTTGGAAAACGACCTGGACATGTGATACATTGCGAGCCCTAGAAGTAGAGTTTGTCTCTAAAGCATGTGTACTTGGAATAGGAAATCGGGAACGGGAGGTTAGAAAACGCGGAACGTGAGATTTGGAAACGGGAAATTAGGAAGCGGGAAATTGTGGAATGGGGAATAAGGAAGGTGGAACGGCAAACAGCAAATATCCTAATGGGGATTCTCTATATGTTTGAATCTTTAAAAGTTGTAGTTTTTTAGCCATTCGATCACAAATAGGCTTTCATGTTTTTAGTATTCTGAAACATGAGTTGCATGCAAGTTTGGAGCCTTGCTAACCCTTTTGCTTAACGTCTTTTTCTTTTATTTAATAGGAAGAAATCCTCGAGTTGGGTGTATTATTTTATCTCAGTAACATGGAGAAAGAAAAGGACTCCAGTGTCAGGCTGGTGACAGCTCAGTTGCTGGTTGATTTAGTAGTTACGTGCAGTTCAAGTAAATGCGCAGATATTCTAGCAGTTGTGAAAAAGGTAACAAACTGAATCAAGAGATTGTTATTGCGCTACAGTTTCTTGTTAATTGCATTTAGACCAAACTGCCTCTTTTGCTTTTTTCCAACTTTGTCGTCCATTGAATTTTCCTGTTGTGTTGTCCTGTCTTAAAGTGTGGTACATTAGCTAGCCAAGGAATTGAGTGGAAGCCTCTCGTAATTTTTTTGAGATAGAGCCTTTTTTGTAAACCTTTATTTAGACCTCTCTTCATAACTAAAGCATTTTGCTGCTCTGTTTATATCTCACAAAAAAAGGCGATTGATAGACTGCAGTTCCACCCAGACTGCTGTGGGAAATCTCTAAAAGAAAGTTGTTTTGTTGTTTTGAGAAAAGCCTTATACATTAGCTAAAACAGGGGACCGAAGAATGGAAAGGGGGAATCGGGGAACAGGGAACAGAGAATTTAAAAGGGAATTTTAAAAGAGAGAATCTCTTGAAGGAAGTTTTTGATCATTAAATCACGCTTAGATTTTAATGCTTTCTTACAGCTCATAAATCGTTTGATGGATTCAAGTGGCAGTACTAGGAAGGGCAATGGCGAACAGGTTAGTTTGATTGCTCGAGTGTTGGCTGATGAAGCCAGAGAGAAGCAAGATAAGCATCGTTCATCGTGCATAAGAATATACTCACGTCTTTCAATAGAGGAATAAAGGCTTTTAATTCATTTTTGTCTATTTATTCAAAATTGTATTCTTGACACTGAAGCTAAAATATGCTTATAAAGAATGATCTGTACAAAACTGCTTGAAAAAAGTTAACTCAAAAGTATCATCATAAGCCGAAATTGTTAGTTGATAAGTAACACCTAGAGTACCTTAAGTGATAAGTTGAAGATTTTTCTGCAGAAAATCATATAATATCAGAATGGACTGAAACCTCTAAAAGTATTCAAGCAAGAGGAAAAGAGTTTAGATTCCCCAACCCTTCCTTTCTTTTTGTCCATGATTAATAATCTTAGTTATTTAATGTTTCTGTCCTTAGATGTTTCTGCTCATACATATCTTTAGGGCTTCCGGGTCGGTTGTCGTTTTGGCTGTTTTTTCCTTTAATTAGGGCTTGTCTATTAAATAGCAATTGATTATGAGTTGCTAAGGAAAAATTCAGTGCAGGATATCTCAAACGTATGAGAAGATGAAAACATGTCGAAGGGCCTATTCGAAATCCTGTTACGATCTAACTTTAGAGCATACCTCAAGGTAACACCAGCAGGAGATTAATTGTGGCCAGAAATTTCGATGATTATGTTGATAATTCTGAGTCGTGGCAAAGGAGATGATCATATTACCACTGTACAACCAGTTAAATTGCCGCATTAAAACTTTAGCTACTTTGCCGATTATCAAATTTTGCCTGCTTCAACTAGCACTTAAGGAAGGTATGCGTTTTTTTAATTTTAATGTTGTGACTAGATATAAATTTGATATAACTTAGCTTTGAACATATATAATAGCTGAAAATTACAAACTTGTTCTTAATCAGACGTCAACTCTTTTTTAGCTCATTACCGATGGGGAACATTTGAGAGACATCAAAGTTGCAGTTTGTGGTTTAGTCGTAGCATTTAAGGTATTCTCACACTTTCCGTTGTCATGCCATGTTATGTTTTTTATTTGTTTAAAACTGTTCAAACAAAAGCCACTGCGAAGAAATGTTTATTAACGACTTCGAAACAAGGAAACGTTTTGAAGCATACCTCAATGCAATGAATTTATAGGCCCATAGCTACATGAGCTTGTACCCAGCCATCAACACTGACAACATTTTGAAGCAATGTTTATTACCAATAGGTTGGTAATATTGACAACAGAAAGGCTGTAATGGATGATCTTTTCAAGGTTATATTTGGAAAATGCAATTTGTGGCAAGAAAGCCTCTCGGGAAAGCTTCTCAGAAAAGTTTCTTCAAATTGAGTGGTTATGACACTAAACAGGATTTACACTGACTAAAGCCCTGGGTGCGAAACCCAATTTGTGAATTTAATTTCTCAGCCCATTTATTTCAAATATCCATCATTCGTTCTTTGGCTGAAATACTTATCACCAATTCATAGCAAGTTTGCTGTCTTTGTTGTAAGATTCTGCATGCAGAAAGATTTAATTTCCACCTAGATTTCTTATTTTCTTTTATTCTCCCAAACATACTTCAATCGTTCTCTTTCTAGCAAAAGCTTTGCGACTCGTCTACAATGATTGCCGTCAAAATACTAGACATTCTTGTAGAGCATATCTCATTGCATTACGTAAATGGATTCACCGCCCATTCTGGTGCCATTGTTCGTCTTGAGGTATTTGCCAAGGATTCACGTTTCATTTTTAACTTTTGATTTGAGAAATGCAAATATGCTCTCTTCACTGACTCAAGAGGCCACAGATCTTGTTGTTTTTATATTTCTAAAAACAACAGATTGCAGAATTTGGTAATTTGTCACCAAACTAGGTCTCTCCTCTCTTACTGGCTTCACTGCGTCCCAATTATCAGTGTTTCATAGTTTTTATAAAAAATGAAGTAATAGCCTGGGGTCTATGTTATCATCACGTGTTTCATAATAAACCCAATTTTTAATGATGCAGTTTTGATGCTTCGATGCTTGTCTTCAAAATGTTATTGGCAGGTGAGCACACCAGCCACTATATTTCTTAGACTTATGACATCCGTCTTCGAATCGGATTCTTGTAGACTTTGCAAATAACGATGCCTATAGCGTGTATGTAGCTTTTCCTTGTGGCGGTTTTCATTTTTAAAGGAAGGTGATACATATGAGTTCCAAAATTCTCAAGCTACTGTAGCCAGCTTTAGATGCAACTTAACAGCATCACATTTGTTTGTACGTTTTTGGTACCGCAAAATTTTCCGCTATTTCGTGCAATCTTCAACCATGCGTGGGTACTAGTCTCGTTTATACTAAGAATTGTTTTCCGCGATTTTCATTTGAAGATAAGATGAAACCCGGTATGTCGTACCCTGGATAACTCGGAACTTTACTAAGTCGGACTGATACAAAAGACGTACCTAAGTCGGATATTCACTGAGTGAGACCTTTTCCTCACATTGACTGAATGTCCGACCATATATTCTGATAGCCCAAACTTTTAATACCCCAAACCTTTTGCATTGATCGTATACGATCATCTTTTCTTCATCTTTATTCTATTCGATATGTCTGAAAGGGAAATCTATATGATTTTCTTTGTTTTTTTTCTTGTCTTAGATATTGAAATTGTTTTTGAGCATACGATCCGATGAAAGCCATCGTGTCGGATTTCTGGAGTTGGACAGTGCTGATCAAAGCAAAGAAAAAAAATTCAGTGTTTTTGCAACTTGCAAACGAATGTGAGGGTTTTTAGATATGGCCAAGTGTATTTGTTGCTTTTTAAATGCATTTACGCGTTTCATCTGATAAAAAAAGCGTTTCCATAAACAGTACTGGTCTACCTGGTGCTTGGATATGTTTTGGAGCTATTTACCTGAATGGAAAATTATGATTCTATAAATGCATTAATAATATTCAAAATGTATAGAAATGTCATTTTTCATTGTTGCGATGCATAAGCTAGCATCTAGCCTGCTAGTGGAATTACATGCTTTTGGTCAATTTTTTTTCACTATCCTAGTAATAGACTGTCATTTTCTCTTGTACTATGGTCACAAACGTTCTTAATTTTTTCTTTAAAAGCGGCAATTTTTCAAACCATGGCCTGAAGCAGTGCATTGGTTTAAAATTCGATAAATTACAATTTTTTTGTGAATTTGTCATAACTTTTTAAGAAGATTTTAACTGTGTTTAGTGGCGTTTTATAACTAATGACAAATATCTTTTTGTCAATTATGAAGATTGCTCGGGAAGCAAAAAAATGGCACGCTCAAGTATTGTTGTCTAGCATTCCATATTCGGCAATAGGTCAAAATTAGTTCAAGCATCTACAGGGCACAATGATTTGCTCAAGAAAACGTATAGTGCCAAAAATTTTGAAATCATTCGGCATAAGCAGAGTCATCTTTTCATTTAGGTGTCTTGGAATCTTTATACATCAGAGTTAAGGATTCCAACTTGTGTATGTAGAAAGAGTTCGTTTTCTCGCTATGAGTCAGCTGTTTGGTCAAAAATAAGGAACAAGATAAACACTTCAATCAACATCTGGCATTTATGCTCCAAGCATGAAAGTGTTTAGGAATTCTATGTTTCTGCTTTTCCTAACTATCTTCAAAATCTGTTGTAGGTAAGGGTTATTTGCTTAAAGAATACAATGTTTCTTGGCCCTTTAGCCACATAATTAGTATTCTCCTTTGGTCACTTCTCAATAATGATATTGACTGACTTGGTGTCTTGTTTTACGTTGTTGTCAGTTGTAAAGATGTATGACAAGAGTAGTTTTTTCTTTTAGGAGAGGAAAAGAAACTGCTGCCCCAAGCCCTCTTGGAAGAAAAATGTCACTTACCAAGTACTGTCCTACCTACAAGGCATTTGATGCTGTTTTAAACTGTTTAAAAGATGTAAGTATGAAATGTTAGCATACTCGGAGCACTACCAGGTCACGGCCGCTTTCATGCATTTTTTTGCCAGTCTTTTGTTTGTAACTATTGGCTTCTGTTTAAAGTGAGTCTCTGTTATTTGAAGCTGTTTCTGTTTTTCTAAGGAAACATCTTGTCTTAAACGTTTTCTAATGATGGGGTCTCAATGTAAGTGAATACTGATACATATTTTTGCTTCTTTGTGGAAACAGTGCGGTTTTTTTCAAATTATTGAGTTTTAGAAGGATTCCATACTGAAAGGCGGTTTCAGTACCAGATTTATTGTTATCTTCTGGACGGGAGGTAAAAACGCGATGAAATTATCGCCTCCTAATTTCATTCTCATTCAGACAGGCCCAAAAAGAGAAATTAATTTTTGCACAACTGACTTGCAAATGTTTTCCGGAATGATTTGATGATAATCAATTTGATTTTGGTGGCTGACATTCACTTCACTTTCTGTTGATTTTTATGATGCTTTCTGGAGCCTTGTCATTATATCACTGATTCGATAAATATCCTCTCGTTGTCTTATTTTATTGTTTGGCAGTCTCAAAGCATTGCATCGGCGTATTATTTTTTTGCGTATTGAGTGTGTTGTACCTTAAATGTTTTAACTACTCAAGCTACACAAGTCTGGAATTTTCTTGGTTCTTGTATGTCTTTGTTCTTCTGATTTATTTGTTATTTCTCTGTAGTATAGGAATAAAATTGAATTAAGGTGACTGATCATTTAACTCAATTTGTTTGTAGGAGTGGGAATGGAGTGTGCTGCAGTTCGTGCTTCAAAATCTGCCTGCTCAGCTTCGGAATAAAACGCTTATTTTGGGAGGCGACGCCGATGTATCAAATCTATGTGCCTTTCTTTGTTATATGGTAATGGTTTTAGTATTAAGATACTATTGGCTGGTGTGACTTACCTGAAAATCTTATTTAACAGCTAGAATAAACTATAAACTCAGTATCATCTATTTATTTTTTTTCTATAAGTATTTGATATTTTAAGCATCATTTTTTTGCTAGTTTCTTCGTTTGAAAAAGCTCGTCCAGTAGCATCAGTTCTTTGTCATCATGAACTGTCTTGTAGGTGGCGTCCCATCAAGACAATGTCTACATAACTAAATCTTAATTACCAACCCCGTGATGTAAAAACGCGTGGTTTTGTAATATTTATGATAAAAGCATTTTATAGTTCTATTTCTCTTGAAAGTAGAACTAGTGTGATCCCCCTTTATCAATTACTAGTGTAGCCCCCCTTATCTCACCCCTATGTTTTTCTCTTTTTTCCTACAGCTCTATTTTCTCTCCAGCCGCTCTCTCTTTTTCTTGCGTCTCTTCCGCTTGCCAATTTGTCTGTTTTTCGTGTTTCTTTTGCCATTTCTGCTGCACCATATTTTCTTCCATTTCTTTTTTTGCTTTCCCCTGCACCCTATCTTTCGGCTTATCTGTTCCCATTTTCCCTGCATCATATGTCCCTTTTCTGTCTCAGTTTCCCCTTGCATGCTATTCTGTCCAGGCTCTCCGTGTCTACTTTTTACCTCTATTCGATTAAGTTTCCCCAGCTCGCTATTTTTCTTTTAGCTTATTCCCTGTTTATTAAAAAACCATTCCATTGCTTTTTATCCAGGTCAACGATGGCCAGTTTTTGAACAAAGCAAAGAATGTACCCCCTGGTTCTGGTCGAGTCGAGCTGCATAACCTAGTATTTCCTGTAAGTTGCTCTGAAGTTCAGTGAGTAATGTTGTAATGAAATATCTAAGACATCAAGCTTTAATGTACCCGCATTTGCTCACTGGATATTATTATACGAATAAAGATATCATACAATTGTTTATCCAAAAAATCTATGCGTTATATTGACAGTTATTTTTGTTTTAGTCAAATATGACCGTCAACCCTAGACTATTAAAGGCAGTACGTCAAGCCGTTCATTGGTTTATCGAAACAAATAACAAATCTTCTATTTCAGTGAGTTTTCATTTCGTAACAAAGACGGCCCTCTACTTGCTATTTATCAGTTTTACTAATTTGTCACGCTTCTCTAATTTTGGGGACTCTCGAAATTCAACAAACAACAAACAATAAACAGCTCGACATTCTGCCTTTAAGTATAAGCAACACCAAAAACTGGTATTTGGTATGAAAGCTATTAATTTTTTGTCTGTTTTGTAGATTCTTGCTGTACTAGTTACCTATCAGAATACAATTGAAAGGCAAAGGCAGGTGAGAGTGGGTTAGGAGTGTAACTATAAAGGCTAGCTACAATTCTCTTTAATTGTACTTGAATTGAAATTTGTATCTTCACCATTTTGTCTTCTAAATTAAAGATACCCTTCAATTTTCCCAGTCCCCGTTGTTTGGTGAGATTGGCGTTACACTTTGATAGACCCAAATTGCTTTACATGAAAGCTTTAAAGTTTATAAAATTTCGCCGAACAGGTAACTAGTGGTGGCGTTTTGATGCTCGTCTACCATTTAATTTATCAGCTACAGTCAAAATCTACACATTAGAACAAAGTTTTAAAACTAACCCAAATTTGTAGTCGTATTTAACGAAGCTCATCCTGTAGTCAGTAAATCTGCTACACATTTCATAAGAACACAATTTAAAGGAAGAGAGATGCTCGATTTGCCAAGAAATGAGAACAAAGACAGATCTAAAGTTAAAGTAACATTACCAACCTTAGATCTAAAGTTAGAAGAAAAAACGTTTTTTTTATTTTTGCTCATGATAACAAACAGAGCAGATTTTGTCCGAACGTCAGTCGTGCTGTTAAGTGTAACATGATGAAACTGTTATTGAGTGGCCTTTGAAACAATTTTCGGTGTTTAGCTCTAGATAAATTATTTTTTGAAACACGAACAATATTAAAAACACCCAAGTTTTAAGAGTATATTTGGAGTGTATTATAAACAAAACAGAAGAGTGTTTTAAGAAAAATAACTGTATTTTGATTGTAAATTTTGAAACTATTTTAGGAATTTTTATGAAGTGAGATTGATTTTAAGAGTGAATTTAGAAATAGCACCAATGATACAACAGCATGTACTCACCAGATTTGCATGCATAGCTCACGAAAAATTCATATTTTGTTTAGGCCGAAATCAATAAAATGACTGTTTCTGAGCTAAGTTGATTATTAACGATTAACAACGAAAATTAAATTGTTTTATATACATAGTACGCCTCAGATGACATTCTGCTTTCCGCTTATCCTGAAAGGTATGGCCGAATCTCAGCATCTCAGCGAAGCATAATCTGCAGGCTCATATCATAAAAAAGTCTCTTTGCGACGCACAGTTGCTGCCATTTGCATTCTTATCATCTATTTCAGCTTGAGTTGGTCAAAAGTTTGGAACTTGGCTTGAATAGTCAATGTGCGCGTCTTTGCGTCGTGTGTTTGACGATCTGCATACTGGAAATGAAATCAGTCATGCTGCGGTAAGGCCAAAAAGCTGTTTAACTGGGTTTATCTGCAGTCGAAAGAGACGTAGTGGCTGCGATGATGTTGCGTTATGTCGTCGACCAAATGAATTTTAGAGAAACCGCCTTTTTATCTCGACTAAGGCTGACAGTAACTGACTGTAATGCCGGAAGAGCTGAAACGATTCAGCTTCTTTCCCGACACTAACGGTATCCCTACGGACATTGAAAGGGCCTAGCCAGCCTTCATACATTGTTGCTATATAACATGCTTCGGCAATGACCGGATCCCCCTTGACCTTATAAGGAGATTTCTTCAGCACTTCTATTATGTTGTTTTGCCAAAGAGAATTACAAATTAGCGACAACGAAGACATGAAACTTAAAACAACTGCGTGCCTGCAATGCATGCCTGTTGACAATGACCCTCAAATGGAAACTCTGACATAAGGCTGATTGCATCGCTCGCATTGTTTCCCATAGTTTACATAATTTCAACTGTCAAATGTAAATGGGTTTTAAATTTTAGCTTGTCTTGAAATATCATTAAAAATAGGCTTATTTGCATTTTTGATGTAAGGGCTGCTTGACAATGCGGACTTTTTCTTAAGGGCTATCTCATCATCCTCACCCCTATTTGGTAAAATATTGAAAACGAAAATGACTTGTACAGTCAAGATCCATTGGCACCGAAAACAGTGACCCTGACCAATCAATCAGCCAGCGACATGACTCTGCACCACTGTAGTCTTTTATATATATATATTCACATTTTTAAAAAAATACACAAATTTACCAGACGATACCACAGAGAGCATGGGAATACATAGCAACCCTGTGGCAATTTACAATCGACATATATAACTAAATTTACTGTGGTCTGTAGTATACTGTAGTCTTACGGCTCTTTCGACTTAATTAAGCTAGTGTCTTCATATTTGAATTCATGCTTATATATTCAGTATTGTTATCAATACAAGATGTTGATAGAAGACCTTTTAGCCAGGTAATATAAAAGTGCTTGGGATGTGGAACTGCCCGAAATGAAACATCTCTCGCAGTATTTCTTCAATGAATCTAGCTTAGTGTTCTTTGCACTTGTAAGGAACTACGACGTCAGTGACTAGCTTTCATAAAGCTCGTTTTCGACCCCCCCCCCACTTTTCTTTTATCATCTCCTTATTTTAGTAAGTTTAATGAACAGCGAAAGAATGAAAAACAACACAACTTTTTGTCCAACATATTGTAATCAAATTTTTTGTTGACTTATTTCATAGATGTTTCTTTTGTTGAAATAACTTGATTTTTCGTCAGTTGTTTCGTAATACATGTAAAGCTCTTAGGCAGTGTATCGATAAAGATTGCAGTTGAAGAATGATCTATAAATTCTGATAAAATGCTGACACGAGTTCTGCTATTTGGTTGCTTGCAGCAAAGCTGATTGGTTTATACCAAGCTCTTTGTACGCTAATTGTTTAACATCAAGCTTCTTGTACGTTCATCGGTTTAGACCAAGCTACTTCTACGTTTATCGGTTTTGACCGACGTTCTTCTATGTTGACTGGCTTAGACCGATCTGCCAACCAATTTACGTATACACTGCCTACAAGAAATCTAAGCAATTTTCCTTCGTTGAAAAAAAATTTTTGTCAACTTTTTTTGTTTACTTTCAGCACGCTACCATCCATACTCATTAAGCTTTCAAAAATTTCTGCCACCGTCATGATGTCGATACCCATGCTGGAGTTCCTCTCAAGTGAGTGTATGATATTGTAATCACGGGGCGTGATTTTGTCTTCAATTTGATGGTGTTTGAATCAGAATATTCGATGGCTGAATTAATTTTTGTTTGTATGAAAAACAAATTACCTGTGGAAGAATAATTAAAATGAACTAAAGATTAGTTAAAGTGGTGTCTAGCTGGGTGGACCATGAAAGTCGTCTATCCCTTCAGCATCTGATTGTTATATGAATAATGACCTTTTGTCAACCCGTAACTGGCTACTTTAGAGTTCTCAAGTGTGACGTCACAAAAAACTATTTTTAGAATTTTCGAATCTTGACCACAAAATATGAAAGAACATCATAAAATACCCCCATATACGCAAAATCAGTTAGATTTGTCAATAATCGGGTGGGGTATGGCCAATAGAAGATTTGAAGTTTGCTAACGGATGACTGTTATTTTTTTGACCGTTTCTGAAACAGACATCTTATCTATTGGTGCAAATGCCTTTGCAATTTAGCAAAAAGATAGAATGAACAGACCAAGAACGCCTTGGAAAGTTTCCTATACGAATTCAAGGATAAGCTGTACAGTGATAACGTCGAAAAATTGGCCACTGAGGAGGAGACGAACAAGATAGGTGAGAAATTTTCGGAGGCATCAGACTGGTTAATGGATGATGGCTACGATGCAACTGCTGAGGTTTACAAAAGCAAGTTGCAAGAGCTAGAGATCAACTAAAGATCTCCGTTTCCGTATTTCTGAAGGTGAGATTCGGCTTAAAGCAATCGCCGAATTGCTTATCAACTTGAACTTGACTAACGTTTTTAATAAACAATTCAAGGCTATGCCAGAAGCATATGAGATTTACACTGAAAGGATATTAAAGATCTAGAGAAAGTGTCAAGTGAAGTCTCTGACTGGCTTGCAACCAACTTGAAAGAACAGACAGATCCAAAAACCAAGCCGGCTCTTTTGGTCAAAGAATTTGTATCAATGCAGGGTAAACTGGACAGGGAATTGCTTTACCTAATCACCAAAGCAAAGTATTGCGTCCCAAAGCCGAAACCAAAAACCAACACAGCAGCCGAAACAAGACTGCCTCAAATACTACCTAAGCTGAAGAAAAGAATCAGTCAATCAAGGAAGATGAAAAGAAGAAGGAAAAGGATGAAAAAATGAAAAAATCCTCCAAAAAGGAAGAATCCGAAAAGGAATAAAAAAGCTAATCGATGAGACTGATTCTACCAGTGACGGAAAGAAGGATGATTCTAAGGAAGAAAAGATTGAAAAGGCAAAACCATTCGAGCTTCCAGAGGTGGAGAAGAAAGAGAGCAAGCCTAAAGAAGAAGTTAGCGATAAATCAAATACAAAAGAAAAAGAAGAGGAAACGCATAAAGAACTTTAACAATTTTAGTTATTAGCATTTAGGAATTGTAAATTTTGTGCGCAAATTACTTGAAGTGGGTGCTTCGCTGATTGTTTTGAGAAAGTGTTCGCCTAAAAAGACAACTAACTATATTATTGTTATTTTGATATATGATTACTGTTATTTTTGCTCAGTTCATAAAGCTATGGCCCGAGCTTGTGCTCATCTGGTCATATCTCAACCAATTCGTAATACCATTAACTAATTTTGCAGATTTAGAGGTATTTCATGATGCTCTTTCAGGTTATTGGAAATAATTTCAAAAATTCTGAAAATGGATTTTTGTGACGTCATCATTTGACAACTCTATTAGTAATTGTTCGGTAGTATTAAGCAAGCATGAATTAAAAAACCTGAAGGAATTTTATGAAATACCTCTATATATATCTCAAACAGAATGTAAAAGAGATTTAACTGATTTCGCACATTTGGAGGTATTTCAAGTTTCTCTTTCAAGTTATGTGGTCAAGATTTAAGATTATAAAAATATATTTTCCTATGACGTCATCATCTTTCCACTCTGCTATTTGTTGTATAATGTGAGAGCAGCAGACTTCAATAACATGCCAAGCGCCAATCATCATTGCGGTCAATTTTGCGATGTTCATTATTGATATGTGTCTTGCATCGCGAATCAATAATGATTAAGTGAGTTGATCTTTATCCGCAACGGATTATGCACTTGTGTTGTAAAGTTAAGCTTAAAGGAGAAAACATCGTTGATTGTTTGTAAACATTATTTCAAAAGTTGTAGATAGCAATGAATTAATCATACCGAATGCCAAACTTAATGTCTTGTTCTTTTTCGAAAGCTGTGTTATTTCTTCAGAATGCTGAATAAAAGCACCTCGTTTAATTAAGACACCCCTTATTTGAAGTTCTCTTATAAATAAGATAAGCATGGCCCAACTAATAAATTATTATCTTCACAAAACGAATGTAAAAATGAATTCTATCAAAATTTGAGTTTTCTGGCACGAGATAGCACTATCAAGAGCCTTAGAAAATATTATGCTCAATGTTGTTTGCTGCTTAGATGAAAATTCTTTTGTAGAATGCAGAAAGGCTGCAAGGGTATTATGGTAGCACCCACTAGATTGCTCAAACTTTGAATTTTTAGATAAATACACTCTTTTCAAATGGCCTTGTGGAGCGAAGACGTAATTTATTGATTATCTGGGTTTCATTTTTCCAACGATTTGATCATAGCTATTTACGGTTTATGCTACAAAAGTTATTTCAGTAAAAATAAAGGGACGTTCTTTTGTGGCACTTAGTTGTTTTCAATTTTTGCGTGTTTCTTGATTAATTCAATCCTCTCTTTATATATTTAAATCTTCCTCGGTTTTTATATTTAGGTTATAGATGTGTTCTCAAATTTGAATTCTAGCGAATTTCAGCAAGAGATTTGATGTCATCTTTGTATTAAGTAGCACATTCAAAAAGTAACATATTACACACTCTACCAGAAGTAATCCTCCGATCAAGGCACTGTTTTTAGAATACTAACTAGTCCTTGTCGTAAAAAAACCTATATCTACCTCACCCCCCCCCCAAAAAATAATGTTGATTGATAATCCTTTGACTTCACGATTAGCTGACATTAATAACGGTCTGATAGGTTCCTGTTGTGTGGAGCATTTTTAAACGGGGGAGGTGGGAGAGAAAGGTGCCACGAAAACTTTAGCGTAGTGTACTCAGGCCTTTGGCATTATTTTAGTTGTAAATCTTCTTGAAGTTGTATTCTTATCTTTTCGGCAACTTTAACGTAGTTTCTATGTCCCTTATAACTGTTGATCTAAATGCCAATTTTATCAAGTTAACAAACTGTGACTTTGCTTTTTTTAAGGTTTAAAAGAAGTGAAAGACCTGTACTCGAACTTCGTGGAGGAGCAGTACATGAGTATATTTGCAATCGCACTACCATATACTGATGCATACAGGTAAAACTATGAAAAATTACTGATCACTGATATTGTGCGCGCATTAAATCAGATTTGCCTGTTATTTTGGGGAAGGGGTACATATTTTTGTGGAGGGGGCGGCACTTTAAGAGTACTTTTTGACTACACACAACACTTTCTCACACACAGTGGGAGCATTTCTCTTGTGACGGCACAAAAGACACTAGTGGGTTCAAACTACTTCTCTTGCCATTTCTTTTCTCCAATTAGGGGGCTATATTCTCATGTAAATGATATGCTAGCAACTTCTAAAAACATATTGAATCTTTCTCCTACCATATCATTGCCAGCAAATCTCTAGAAAAGACCCAATTTTTCCAAAAGTCAAGCTGCTTCTAGGTTTTATTCTTAAGGTACATGCAGAAGCTACAGGGCCAAAGATTCTTGGAATAGATTATCTTTTAAAGACAGTATTTTGATGATGACTTTGGTTGACAGTGATTTCTTGTGGCAATAGAAGGAGCAAGAGGCAATGCTCTATAGAATAATGGTTTATCCTGCAACAGTGGCGCTCGAAGGACAGCCTGTACCATCTCGGATTCCCAATTCTCGTTTTCTTCTTTGAAGAGATTTTCTGTACTTTTCTTTCTTCTCTTCTTTCATAATTTTCTGCATATGATTTTTTGAGTGACATTTATAGCCTGCGTTGCAGTCCATAGTGAATATCGGTGTAAAGCAATTTGGTGTGTGCAACACAGCTCTATGTCGCCTATCATTTTCCGCGTACTGGTTTCCTCATATTTGACTGTGTGTTGTTGTTTCCAGCAGAAACTTGATACATGAATCCCACTAGTTATAATGAAGAAATGGTTGGATAAAGGCACCTATTAGAACTTTAACATTTCGTGTCGAAATGGAGCTGGAAAGACAAATCTGCAAAATATGTCTGTTTTATTACATTACTTGTCCTTTCCCTTCAGTTGCCGGAATTTTACCACGTGACGGGCTGGGAAAACATCTTTGAAGTACAGGCAAAAATAATATTTGTATACTAGACATTTACTTCTTCGAAGATTATTTACGTTCTCCTGTCTTTTTCTTAATCCTTTCCAAAAAGGGAATGATTTGATTTTTTATTTCAATTAATGTTTCCGCACGGCACTTAATAGTTTTATTTTCTACTAGATACTCTGCGTACACGGTCACTCTTGCCCATTACGTCATTTCTTCGTGGTTCACCAGATGTCGCTTGGCGTTTAGAAAAGGCTTTGTGAGGCTGATAACAAAGGTACAGCTATGTTTGCAGGTCCACCTTAAAATATATGCAAGGCCGCAGCTACTGTTGCTCCTTGAGCTCCGCCATAATAATATAAAATCCTCTGTTTCTAATGAACAATCGCTTATGTTCTCAAATTAATGAAACCGCCCAATAATTCTGTCCTTTCTATGGCACTGATTTGATGAAGAAAGTGGTACTTAAGGCGACGTAATAGTTGTTTTTAATAAAGAAGTATTGGATTTCATGGTTTGTTGTTGTCAACAGCGTTGCAATTGGTCATTAAGCTAAAGAGTATCAGTTTATCACAGACAATAAATTCGTGCAAGTACTAGGTGGGTAAGTAACGGTTGTGTGTTGTTCATTTGGAGCGTTTGCTCAATGTCCAGTTCTTAATATTTCATATGTCACTGTAAGGTGACCAGTGCCTCATTGACGTATGCGCGGGTCTCTGCACCAACCTCCATTGACTGGCATCTTAAAGCTTTTCTTTTAGTTAATATGATGATCTTGACAATGAAAAATATCTTATTTGTTTTGAAGGGACTTCAGTCGAGCGTAATTATCAGGCCTAGTTTTTCGCAAGCTAGTGATAAACAGGCTGGTTCGGGTAAGCAGTTTGGGACAAGTGAAGAAACTCAAGTGTTTCATGAAGATATGAAAGAAGTTTGTTCAGATATGATGGCAAAATACTCCTTCTCGACATTGTCAAATCAACCTAAAAGGTGAGTGTACTTTTCTACGAGCTCAACTTTAATCACAAGAAAGCAGAAATCCTTCGCAAATGGTGTGTCATATGTCGCTTTGATGAGTCAATTGCCAAAAGTTCTAGAAGACTTTAGGGTTTCCTGAACAAACGCACTTGCGATACATATTTTTTGCCAAAGTCTCATGCAGTGTGTTGTAAGAACTTAAGACAAGATTAGTCGCCAGTAATATTTCATGATTCAATATCATGTGCTTTCTTAGGATAGGAATCGTGAGATGAAAACAAATCGTAGATAATCATCGTAGAATTGGTTGTTTTCTTTCTAGCGTGGCTGAAAGAATAATCGTGTTTTACTAGTTTTTAGGTAGAACTGAAAGCGAGCTTTATAGAAATTCATTGCTAGTCAAGAGCTGATGTTAGAGATAAGAAAACTGAGGTTTAATCAGTTATTTCATCAATGCATTATGACCTTTTATGCTTTCTTTGTAGGTCATCGATCGTTGAGTTCCTTTTAACAAACGGACTGTCACAAAGCTGGCTTGTAGGTAACACTTTAGTGACAGTCACAACCAGTGGCTCATCCTCAGAGATGTGCGTGGCTTGTAACCAGAGACGTGCCATATTAACAGCCAATAAAGCTGCCGCCAAGCTCAGGTCCCAGAAACTTAACGAAGAGAGGCGTTTGAAAGGGGATCATCAATTGGCTGAAGAGCAAGAATCTTCATTGTCGCTAGCTGTTGAAGCAAGTATAGCGAAAGCAAGTATGGGGAAAGCAAGTATGACAAAAGCAAGTGACGGCTGTTCTATAATGGCTGAAAATGGTATCCCTAAAGAGTCAAAGAAAGGTCAGGTTAGGCCGGAATTGATGCAGGTGTCAACGACAGTTGCCAGTGGCGAAAAAGGTAGGCCTAGGACAGACAATAAAGGATCCGACACCACAACCACTAGCTTCGAAATCAAGTCTTGCGAAGAGGCTGCCGGGGATCGTAAGGAATCAAGAGTTGACAGTGCTGTTGAAATGACTGAAGAATATGAATCTGTAAAGGAGGGTGGCTTGGTGACAGCAGAGCTTTCATTGCCTCCTGAAGTCAAATTCGAAGTCTCGGAATCCCCGGCTGCCCAGTCATATCTTCCATTGATAGAACCAGATGCCTTGCCTGATGAGACTGGCAATGAGATATCGCTTGTTAACCGACTCGCTCTTCAAGAGCAGGACACAAGCACTGGCTACGTCTTTTCTCCAACGAATTACTTTCTCGATGAGATGGGTTCTTTAGCTGAAACAGGTATTTCCGCAACATCGTCTATGGAGTTCTTAAAAGGTTTGTGCCTAGAGCTTCTCTTTAAGTCATCAACTGTCCTATCTTTACTGCACTGACTCTTTTGATAATGCTCATAAGGTGGTTATGTCAACCAGTTGTTTTGACATCGTAAAAGCTGATTACGATTTGGCTGGGCACGATCCAAGTTTGATCACGCTTATAGTTTTAAGAATAAAGTAAACATACGGATGTTCAAATATGATATCTGTTGATCTCTGAGCTTTACACTGCCTAATCTCCCCGCAGACTGTCATTGTTGCTGTTTTTGGTCATTTTAGCAGAGAAGAACAGCTCGAAACCTATATTTTGCTTTACTTATTGTTAATGTCGGTAATTGTCTATTTAAACCGTCCTTGCTCAATTTTCGTCGTTATTTTTATTACAAGATTAGAAGAATCCAGCAAACGGCATTTAAGAGTCTTTTCCTTGTAGCATACAATTCCCGCCAGGACTGCAAGTAGTATTTTAGAAGTGCTCTACAATAACAACACATTTACTGGTACAATTTTTATGTCGGGTCATCCTTTGTAAACCATACAATCTACGTGAAAGAAATTGTCGAATCCTCAAATGTTGAAACAAGCTGTTTCTATTTGGTAGTAACTGAGCAAGACCAAGCAGGATTGTTGCATATGCATGTTGACGGTTTAGGAAATTTTCGATTCCAGATCATATGCTGCTGTGCGGATAATCAGTTCTGATGATTTTGAGCGAAATTCTTAAAGCCAACATTGAAATCCTACCATGGGCTGTTTCTGTTTTACATAAAACATAACTTGCGGCAGCAGAAGCGCACAAAAATGCCATCGGGAAAGGCACTTGGGTTTGACAACTTCTAATTTCCTGCATTATTAAATGCAGTAGGATGATTACATCATTTGCGCACCATTATTATTAAGAAGCTTCATTGACTCTCTGAGAAAACCTTTTTAAAGTATTATCTTTCCATGAAATTTTCCCGTTTAAATATGATACCCGTATTTCTGGTGGTTCATCTAAGTTTATGTTCAACGTCTTTTAGAAATTGTGGAGAATGGTAGTATTTACCTATCATCGATATGGTTCTTTCGACAATATACTGAGAACAAGCTGTTATAGCTGCTTGGAACACTTTTCAACTGCCTGTTAAATGTAGGAATGGAAACTCTCTCTATACATTCTCCAACTATCACTCCAGACTGCGCTGCTTGTATCTGAATTTGTATTTAATACAATTTTTGTTATGTTTTGCATTTGACAGACCAAGCTGAATTAAAAGATGATGATGCTGAGGATGGCGATAATGGAAACGAGTTAAAACAAGAACATCGCACCTCCGAAGATTCTAGAATTCAAAAAGAGACAACAGAAATGAATGTTGTCCAAAGCCAGCAGCAGTCGGAACATTTGGTTGCAAAAACTGCAGAATGCGGGGAAGCTTTATCTGTCCATAGTGCTGGCGTTGAAAAGCAGGAACGAACAAGCTCTAAAGAAATGATGCTGCTGCCTGGGAAGTCTACCTCGGATGTTGAGACACAACGCCCGCCTAAAAGCATTGCACAGAAAGGAAAAGTTGATAGTCCTGACTCTCAAGTTCCACGACAATTAATTTCCAGGCTTGAGCAAGATGCACCGGCGTTAGGATACAACGAAGGTCTTCCTAAGCAGAGCTTACTTCGTGCTCAACCTGTGTCAACAAATGTCTCTCAGAATTCCTCTTTGCAAGCTTCCCCCGCGACATCTAAAAAGACGTCATTTCAGAATTCAGTCGAACTTTCTTCAGAATTTGAAATGGTTGATGAAGCTGATGCAGCCTCGTTCTCGCGCAAAGAGAGCAGCAGTGCCAGATCACTGCCAAACACAATATGCAATTGCTCCTCGGATGGCTGGGCTGAGATCGTGATACGCAGACCAACTGGCAATACATCTTGGGTGATAAAAATCGAAAATGTTCTCCATGAAAGTGACACAAGCCGGATTGAAGATATCACTGCACTAGCTGCAGCGGTTGAAGCCGAGGATTATACGTCAGATATTCGTAAGTATAAGAGAGCCACTATTTGCAGTATGGCTTCTAAGGGTTTTTTGTTTGCGCTAAGGGATTTCCTAGTACTCAGATATTTAAAAGAATTGGCTCTTAAGCAATGGCACTTTAAAGCTCGATATTCTATGGTCATTTCACTCACTTTAACTTTGTCGCACAGTGAATTATATGGGATTGCTGGTATCTGAGGCATACAGTTCCTATTTATGTTCATATTTTCATATATTTCATTCTTTTAATGAGGATTGCCCCGCAGCAGTAACTGGTTTTCAAGGGGCCTTCAAAAAAAATCAATTAGTAGGGTGTGAAATAAAAAACAAATAATTGAATAATAATTAGATAAACCGTATTTAAAATGTTTAAAATTGACAATTATGCTCAAAATATACAATCTAAAGAAAAGAAACTATTTCTCTTTCTAAATGGTTTTCCTGAAACTATGGAGAGAGGTTGCCTGCCTAGACTTGGCTGTAGGCTATTCCGTAGCTTTGCACCTCTATAAGAGAGGCATATCTGGCCATCTGCTGACCTTTTCATTGGTGACCTCAAATTGGTTCCCGTATTGCGAAGACTAAATGATGAACAGAAGGATTTTTTCGGTGAAGAGGTCACACAAGTGCCAGCTATTTAAGGGAATTGACGACCATTGTCTTAGATTCACTGGCTGTAAGTTGTTCCATGGTCTTCCATCCCTGCCGTTCAATAATAGGTATACTTAGGGCATTGATGCTGCTGTTTGTTGTTATTCAAGTAGCACGGTTGTAGTTTTTGCAAATGACAGAATGTAGTTAAACCAGCATAGCCCCAAACCGAACAGCAGCACCGAAAGTAGGGCGCGAAAAAACCTGTGTATGGAGTTTGAAGTGTTTCTTTCGAGAGAATAAGGTTGGCATATTCTCAAAAATCAACTGACTTTGAGAGGTGATAGAAACTGCTTTGATCTGTTCTTTCCAATCCAAGGAGCAGTGAATTTGCACACCGGAGTATTAAGGCTTTATGAACATTTGAGAATGTTGTATTTCTGCTAGTGGAAATAAGCTTTTTGCCTTTGAGCCAAGTGCAAAGTTTTCCGAGGTCGCTTTTAATAGCCTCGTTCAGCCTAATCAAATCGTAAAGCTTAAAGCACAAATTGTTGTCATCAGCATCGTTAAGATCGTTAATTGATATGAAAAAGAGAAGAGGGCCAAACATGAGCCTTGTGGAACACCAAGCTCGATGTTCCTAATACTTGAATCGACGCCATTAACCCTACAAAGCTGATTCTGGTTATGATCTTACCAGGGGAGTCCACGTTTGTGAACACTATAAAGCTTAAGCTTATTGCAAAGAATGTCATAATCTACGATGTCAAATGCCTCTTTGAGTTGGACGAACCGCCCACAAGCTTACTGATGTCCGTTCCATCATAGTGGTTCCATTGTACCAGTAGTCTTAAGTCAGCAAGTGGCTATTGAATGAAGACGCAAAATCTGGATTGGCCTTATGAACAATGACTATTATCATTTATAAACTGATTCAACTGGATTCTTACTAGTTTTTCAATGAGCCTTGAGGTAACTAGCAAGACTGTTAATAGCTTGTAGTTAGACTTGTCAGTCATCTCCACCTTTGAAGACTGGAGTAACTCTCGCAACTTTTCAGGAGTCGGGAAAGCGACTTGTTCCAAATATATATTAAGTATGATAGCAAGCGAGATTTCAGTGAAAGTTTTAAAAAGTAGCTGAAGATGCAGGCAATCCCAAAGCTTTTAGTGGTTTTAACTTTGGCAGAAACATCCCTGCTTGCCAGTTGAAAATGTTGAAAATTGGTAATATGTCAGCTGAAACACCAGAAAAGACATGCACAGTGGAGATTTTTATCTTACATTTCTTATCGCTTTTAATGTCACATTTAGTAGTTTTGAATTGAAATGCTATGTATTGACGCAAGTTGCTGCTTATGCGTATGAATTATTAAATGAGTTCAAAATAATTTTAGCTAGAGTGACAGTGATAGTAATTAAGTTTTAATCATACCCTGCCTATTGCTAGCAAAGTCTTTAATAAGTAATTTTGCATCAAAACAGTCATCGAAGAGAAATAAAGATTTTGTAGAGAGTTTATTGTACTTCTTTGTAGCCCTGTCAGTATTATGTACCAAATATCACCTTATCTGTAGCAATGTATATCTACAAAAGGCCGACCTCCACTTCTCTCTCGCGCGCACTGTGTATCTCTTCATCTCATAAGCTCCTCGTAGCTTATTAGCCCGGGAACCAGAGCCTCGCGATTCCGGGTATAAGGTATTGTAGAGAGCTGCAGTGTCAAAAAATGAGTGTCAAGAAATATTTCTGTGACTAGTTTCGAACTTTATTTTTTGGACTAAATAGTGGAGACTCTGGCACCCAGGGTACGGCTTGTCCGCGCGAAGTCACTTTGGGAGTTGGTTCACAGCCTTACTACAAAGGTGAACGACATTTGTTCTTCGCGACCAAACCGATCTCAAAGCACTTGTGCGCACGGTTGGTCGCAGTGCGCGCGCGAGCAAGAAGATGGAAGTGGTAGTCGTCTTAAGTCTCTTCATTTCTCATTGGAAGCTTTAGAAATCTTTCATTGGTTTATCGATCTTAACCAATGTGATAGCGCCTATGCTTTTCCCGCTGTTAGTGCGACAGGTAATGCGATAGCTGCTTCTATGTTCGGCAAAGGTCAACGCTTTTACACCATATACTGAGCATACTGTGTTTTGCATTTCAGGAAAATTTTATGATAGTCCTTCAGAAGAAGTCACATCAACCAGACCGCGATTCATGTCTGTCGTGACGGATGAGCTAAGCAAAGAGAGACAAGCCGCTCGATCCTGTATGTACAGTAATCTTTTACCTCACAAATATCTATCAATTTTGCTGCTACCTGAAATTTTTGTCACCAAAAACACAATTTCCAAAGCCATTCACTATCATTTAAGTGCTAGACTGCAATTTTTGGCCTAGCACAGTTTTCAAATGTGGCTTGATTAAAATCAGGATGATCTTATTTTACTTTTGTCCCATTTCTAATTTACTGCGCTATTCTCTATTTAACGATCGGTGTTTACCATTAGTGTAAGCGCAATGAAATTTCAATCATTTGAAGGTTCGGTCATGAAAGCTACTCATTGGACAGTTTCTTGAAGTTAAATTTTCTACGCAAGTATTACTTTTTACATGAGCAAGAATATTGCACAAATGAACATTGTTGTACAAGCAATGTTATTCTACAGGTACTTTTTAAAAGAGGCTATTCTAGCTATCTATTTAGTTTCATTTCATGTTTTGCTTTAAGCATTGTGCTCCCATGAATTTCCATTCTCTATTTTTAATTCCTTTCCTGATATCACCCAATCTTCCTTGAATCGTTTATTCACAATGAAAATTTAAAGAAATCGACGAAACGATCTCTAAGCCTCCTTTTGGAATTTGAGAAGGTCTATTCACACGGATTTCAGTGTGTTCTTATGGTTTTTCTTTATTGCAAACAGTTCAAATCTTTCATTTCTTCCCATACATCTGCCTTGCGACTTATCTTTTCATAGTCATTAGAAAAGGGTTTTTTTAATGACTATGACCTTACCCTTTCTTGTAACTCTCACGCAGCTTATGAATATGCAGGAAAATTTCTTCTGCTTTATACGTTTTCAAGTGAACGGTTAATCCACGTGTTTTTATTTATTCGTGGTGAAAATAAGTAGGTTTCCAAGTTTACAAGAAAACTTTTGATGTCTAATGTGGTTTTCACCACTAAATTAAAAAATATAGGGTATTTTCGTATTAAACAAAATCAAAATATTTTTGCTGAAGTCAATTGTTATAAAGTTTCTCATCCGAAAGTTTTCTGTCTGTAAGTCACGTTAATTTTAAAAAATTATCACCCAAGTACAGTTTAAAATTTCACAGAAATATATTTCTTTTCGTTCTACGCCAGGTTGCAAAAAACGGACTATCTTTCTTGCACTGTGTGCATAACCTCTTTGTCATATGTTAACGACTTTATTGCACTTGAAAATCTTGATTTGCGAAACAAAGATTAAGTCTAAAGGGACTTGCCACGTAGCTTATAATTCTTAACTGCATAGAATCATATAGTAAATACAACTCGCTAATTTATAGTTTGCAAAATTAAAAGAAAATATGTAATAAAGAAGAAGTGCATTAAAGGTTGTCAGGACCAACGTAAAAGGATGAAGGGAATCAAATAGGTTGTAAAATTGAATTTCAAAATAAATTAAATGTAAAACTAATATTTTGCCCCGGGATACAGGGCTTCATCGGAGTAAATGAAACGAGCAATTCAATGCCATCTACATTTACTCTGATGAAGTCCTGTATGACATACCCGGCAATATTACAGGAATTTTTGTCTTGGCAATTTAAAGATTAAGTGCAATCTGTCTATTGAGATCTTTAGTAGTCTTTCCTTTACCTTGCACCAAAATACGCAAGTTGAACAGGCCAACATTTTTCCAGTGGCGTCTCCCTGTTTTTTGTCTTGAAGCAGTACCCTTCTAGTGTCAGCTGTGAATGTCCATACCATCTTACTTAAAGCTGCTCAATATGCCATTGATATTTCAGTTTTCCTTTTTCAAAAGTATCTTGTGATTCAAAAAATTGCAATTTTTACTTCTTAAATACCCCCCCCCCCCCATTAGATCATAGCTGGATCTTTTTAAATAAAGGCTTACTTCTAAGGCAGGCTAAATATATCGAACAATCTATCATGCATTTTCTCCTCACTTTCAGCCTCGGACAGTCCCAAACCTTTCTCGCAAGACATTTCTTCCGATTCGCCCTCAAGTTTTCGTAGACGCCGATTTAGCACTGGTTCAATGGATATCTCGGGAACTTTTCGTGTAAGTATTCAGTTTCTCGAGCCTCCACAATGAAACCTGCCTTCTTTATTTTTGGGTTTTTGTTATGTTTAGTCTTTTTAAAGAGTACAATAAAACCTTGATTCATGCTATCACAAATATCCAGCTTCACTGTTTTTTCACTCATGTTTGGCACAACGCAAATCATCATCAAAATAGTATCCCTGCCTCATTCTTGAACAAATTCGATAACCAATCGGTCCAATAGCTCAAAATAGCAAGATGGGAAAATTGATATCCGCATTTGCCGCTATATAAGCGGTTTCGGCAACGTGAATTGGGTATCTTTTGAAGCACGCTAAGTGCCCTGTACTTTTGTACTTTTCTTCTTTGCTAGAACATCGTCATTCTGAGATCCACAACCCAGCTTGACTTTATTGCTAATCACAACCCAGCTTGACTGTCTAATCGAATTCCCTTGTGAGGTTGTCCTCGCACCCACGCTTAGCTGTGCAGTATGAATTTTGAACCAGAAATAATTGTCCGGTGCAGAGCACTAAAGATTCCAAAATAGTAGAAAATCTTTTTTTCTATGAATGCAAAAGTTGGTTCATTTTTAATATATCATACATCTTCAGCATTACTGCCTAATTACTTTCGAAAAAGTGCACGTAAATATGATAAATTATCGTTAGATAATTCTATACAAGCACCATAGATTTACGTTAGAATCAACATTCTTGCGTTTTTGGTAACCGGAAAAGCATTTTTTAATTTTTGTCCCGCATTGATTGGAAAGTATTTAGAATATTGAGTATAGATTTTTTTGGAACAGAATATTTGTTAATAACAATTTTGAATAGCTGATTATAATTTTTGAAGCTACCCCTGTCCATCTCTGTGATGAATTGCAGTGCACAACAGTTTTTTCCAGATCAATTTGGGCAGGAACCTCTTCGATTTGATCCTTTGAATACAGCCGCTTTGCAGTTTCATGACATTTATTTTGAAAACTCGTCATGAAGAGGATAGTTAAATACATTATCATGCGAAATGATCCCTGCCTAACATAAATGTTGAAGCAGGTGGGATTCTAAGTTTGTATTTTCCAACAAAGGAAGAAATTAACATGAAATGTTTCAGCCCGGCTACGTCCAACATGGGCTGAATTTCAACTCGGTTGACAGTGTTATCCATTATAGTGTTTACATGAAAGAATCTCAGCACAGGCTGTAACCATCATGGCCCTTCAGCAAAGTTTAAAAATTCAACACGGGCTGATATACTTACGTAATTAGCAGAAAATTTCAGGAAGCGATGAATGTTGGGACAGCTTCTATGGTAATTTAGACAATTAATTTTGATTATATAGCATGACGTAATCTCGACCGGTTTAAAGAGTTGTCTTACAAACATATAGCATTATAAATGACGAGTCAAAATCTGTGTCCGGACTGAAATTTCTCTAAGAAAGCTAGTATTGTGATCTGCTTGGTTAATGCCAGAAAAATGCTTCAAAATCAGATGATTACTTTACATTTATTACTATTATCATCATCGCTTCCTCGTGTCTTTTCTCGATCAGCAATGATTCGTTTGTTATCGCCTCTCTGATTTTCCTTCCACCGTTTTGCTTGATTTATTGGCATTTTACTTTCCTATTCCATTCATTTTGCAATCTTTCCACATGTTTAAAGCTACTATAGTGGAACTATTTTTCACATTGACGTATTTTGCCAAAATCCTACTTTGAAATCCTCCTATGAAATATTAAAATTAATCTGATATTAAATACAAGAGAATGAGTCTAATCTTGCGTTGTCGATGCCCGAAGAGAAGACGAAGGAACTTCGAAGGAAAAAAAGCATAAAACTTGATGGATAAAGAGCGCCATTTCTTAAAATTCATATCCTCTAACTGATAATTTCTCAACTTTGACTACTTCAGCACAAAATTTGATATTCATTTTTAGGTAGAGATTAATTTTCTAGTCATAAATTAGTGATGAAATTGAAATGCAAAGCTTTTTACTCAAAGGAGACATAAGACTGACGTGATTGTTCCCACAATTGAGTGTTATAATTAAAGAGTTATGCTCAAAGTTCTATGTATCTAGTCGCACTTTTTCTCTATTGCTTTGTATTAATTATTTATTCGAAGTGCAGTAAGCTGAACAACATTGATTATCAAACGTAACAAAAAATTTTGGATATGCCACGGATCGAGATGGATCGAAATATTTTTTTCTCGTTCGGGTACAGTAGGTTTCTCTTGTTACAAATCGAAAAGCAAAAGCCTTTCATATGCCTAGGAAGAGAGGTTACCATTTTCTGCGCGCTCTTAACAAGGAAAGGAGTTATGCTTTTGTTTGTTTTTTCCTGATTAGGGAATATTAAGAGCGAAGCAAGATTTAGCTTATCAGCTTTCAAGACTTAACTACACAACATAAAAGGAACGTTGATGTCCCCCAAACATGATGTTTCCCGAGTTAAATTCTACAAAGTGTTCGCTGATTTTTTAAGGGACGGTGATTTCGACAATTTTCAATCTGCTTGCGAAAAGTCAAGCGTAAGTTCCGTTTGAGATGCCAGTCATCAAGTTTCTCAAAGAATAGCTTTCAAAGCCGGCTTTTCAAATGGATTTTTGGCTGAGCCTATTACGATTCAGACATGATGTTTGGATTCTTGCATTTGAGGAGATATTTGATTCATCTGTCCCGTTCTTAAAGAGCTTTAATCTAGCTTTTAGTCTTTGTATATTTGTACCCCCGTCATAGATTATCCGTAAACTGCATAGCAATTATATTGGGAGATGTGATCGGAATATTTAACCCTCAATTAATCAAGTTGTTTGTTTTCCGCCTCTTAAGCGTTGGTTTTTGTTTAAACCTCGAATCTTGATTTTCAAAAATGCGGTAATGGCATACGAGTTTCATTTAATTTTCACTTTACCAGACCATTTAAACGCATCTCACGTAAAGACCGGCAGGACGATGGTCGCCTTGTTTTGATTTTTCTTTAACAAAAATCTTTAACCTGCCTGGTTTTGTAGAAATCATTCTGTGTTATGGCTATGCACTTAAATGATTGTTAGCTTGGACAACATATCTAGAAAATGTCTTTGATCATGGAACTTTTTGCCAATGCTTTCCGACCAAGCTTTTTTCATTTAATCAAAAGAAGAGTGACTCAAAAAGCCCTCGTCATTCGTTCGAGCCATTTATCGACAATTTACTTAAGTAAAGTTACTTTCATGAGTTTTTAGCTTCCTTTTTAGGTATAATATGACTTAGGTTTAGTTCTTGCTTTTTTGAATCAATAATGGTTTATGAGAATCAAAAAGTTGTTTTTGTTGTTTACGTATTGACTCATTGGACCCCATTTTCCAACCTCTTGTTCTGAAGCTTGTTTTTCTGCATACAGCTGCTTTGTGTACGCACGTGGTGATTGATTAGATTAAAGTAGCAACTGTTTTAGTCTACTTTCATAATGGATTCAGTTGTAAGCAGACCATTTGAGTCTTCTGTATGTTAACTTTCCGTTTTTTGTCATTTTTGCTCTGTTGTGTGTCATGGGGGGCCTACTAACCTTATTAAAATGTACTTGTTTTTAAATCCTTGTTTTGTTTTAGCGAATAATCCTCTAAGACATCAGGAAAAATTGTAAGCTCTGTTAGTGTTTCGGTTACTGTGTCTTCACATGCGCAATGAGTAAAATTACCATTTATGGATATAAGCTCTGTTTTTCCATCTGTCGTGACGTGTTATTTTGTCCTGTCAAGCATTTGTTTTTGTTTTACGCCATCGGATCGATTGAATAAATTTTAAAGAATCTGATTCTTCAAACTGCCTTCGTCATTTTTTATCAAACTTGCATTTAATTGACAACATATAACTTCACAAACCATCTCGCACAGTAACCAAGTTCATTTAATTTATGAACCGACATTTTGTGAAAATGGAATTCTAACTTTTAACATTGAAAAAACAAAACCTTCTAAGGCCTGGTTCAAACGTCGCGCTTCTCATGTCCGGAACCTAATTCTGTTTGGAGCGACACTTGAGCATGTTTAGCGCGACTCCCGTTTCAAACGTCGAACTTAATCATTTCGCGCCAAATGGGTTTTAGGATTGCTACATGAAGTATCTTGGTTAAGGCGCGCAATCTCAAATATTTGTTTGAAACGCATGCGCCCTCCAAGAAAGAAATGATTTCTGGGAAGGAAAATAAATTGAATATAATTATGCATTGAGTTCGGTACATGACAAGTTCGACGCTTGAAACCGTGCCGTGCTGGAGCCGTGCAGCTGGGCAAGCTCTGCCGATCCAAACTAGTCTGCCGCTCCTAGCTAAATCTGCCGTACCAAATTGATTCAAACGTCGCGCCCCTCGTGTACTTAATTCTCGAGTTAGGTTCGGCACATGAGAAGCGCGACGTTTGAACCAGGCCTAAGACTTTTCCTTTTCTACAAGGAGGTTATGCTGTGTGTGCCTGTTGCCTCTAAACTTGCAGTATCAACTCAAAGCTGTCCTGCTCTTTACACCAAATATCGTATACAGCTCTGCCTATATGGCATAAAGCACTTTATGGCAGATCGGTAAACAGTAATTACCATAAGGAACGGAAAAAAGTGGCTAATTTTGAGGGGTCGTGGAAGGATAAAAGTTCCAACTTTTTGTAAGATGAAAATTCTCAGTCTTCTTTTATCAAAGACTTCTCAGCACCTTTATCATAGCAATTTATGATAAAGTGGGGGAGCTTTTCATACACTCGATTTTTATAAAAAGCGTTGAGAATTTCTAGTACTGAAAGATTCTTAATTTTTTGTTGAATTAACTACTCGTAGTTTCTTAAAAAATCCCTATTCTCATTTTTTCTGATCAATATATGGTATTATCATTTTCCATTTCTTTCCGGAAATTCTTCTGTCTGTTCAAAACTATGTAATTCAACTTGACTCCCGTGAAAAAAACAGTGCAATAGTGTAATTTGAGATCCAGTGGAGACAGGGTTAGTGAATGGGTCCGCTCCACCCTGTAAATTTTTATAAGGTTTAAAATTTTTAAACTTAAAATCTCAAATTCCAAAGATATAAAATTCACAGGTTTGGTCTTGAGAAAAACAAATCCAAGATAACTGTTACGTTTTCCAAACAAAGCAAAACGTCGACAAGAATCAAATGTTATGAGATGAATTTTCAAAAGAAATTAAATTAAACGAATACTCTTAAAATAATTTGTAACCGGGTCAATCTTTATCATTATTCTTCTAATCTTTATCAAATATCTTCCCTGTAATTATTGCTACTTGAGCTTCAGCTATGCACGAAAATGAAGAAAATGTTGAGTCAATAATAAGATATTCAACAATACCAATATTAAACATCAACAATATCAATATCTGATGAATATCGGCTGAAAATATCTGACACAGGGCCTCAGTGTTTTTAAACAAATATTTCTTTCGTTCCTTTTTAGTTTAGTTCTCCAAGCCCGGATGTTAGCAAAGAAAAAGGTGCGTATCTTTTCGACAATAAAAGACTCTATATTCTTTTAGACTCCATATTGATATAGACTCGTTTGCAATTACTTTTTCTTATCAATATTTCAGCGACCAATTTATTAAATCGAGGATTTCCACGAAGCAAGTTCAAAGGGATTTTCATCGGGTCAGGGTCTCTAACCAAGCAAAAAAATATCGCATACCTTTGCCTAGATTTTGGTTGTTTGACAGCCGGGCATAGTGATAACAAGCCAAAATTAACTGTGGATTGGAGAAGGCAATCTCGTTTCGTCATTTTGAGAAGTTCTAACACGTATTTGTCATCTGTAGCGCCATTTCTGTACAGTTCACTCCCGTTAAATCGTACCGCATTACTGGAGTTGTCACCAAGTCGGACTGATTTTCAGTTCCTATTGGATTCCCCTACTTTATTCAAGTCAAAAGTCGTATCCCGGATAGGTCGGACAGTTGCTAAGTGAGACCATCCCGCCCTCTCTTGAAGGTATTCATCGACCTTGCTGTGTATAGTGAGGAATCATTTTATAAATCGATGTTGATAACAAATTTATTTTCATGTTGTTTTCATTTTTGTATGGAATCCTCACATGCCACAATGATATGCTATCAAGTAAATCGTCTCTCTTTCTAGTGCCTTTCCATTTTAGAAACAGTCTGCCTTTGCTATCATTTTATTTCTAATATAACTGAAGATCCATTCTTTGCAGGAAGTTAAGAATGCCTCTCTTTTTTAGATGCACTCATTGACGCCTCATATGCCATGAAATACAATTTTGAGAAGGTATCGTGAAAATTGTCCTCCGTCTTTGCAGATCAAACCGTTCAACTCAAAGCGTAATTGTTCTTGCACATCCACGGCAATTTCATAATAACAAAGTATCGATTTTCATGTTTCTTCCATCAGTGGGTTCATTAATTATTGCTTATAAAGTGATCGATTAAGTTAATGATTCGTAATATTTAAAAACCTCGAAAAAGGGTCAATTAAGTTATTAATTTTTGTTGTGATGAACTGCAATGTCACATCTCAGGAAATTATTCTTTCTGGAGACACACTAAAGCCTACATTCAATTATGCCAGATTAACACTTGGAAAACATTATTTTAGATGCAGACATCAGAGCTTTTGTCATTTCAAAAAAAACATTGATCGTAGAGCACTTATAAGCATAATTACTCTGCTTGATTATAGGTAAAACATAGAAGTGACAGACACTTTTCTTGCAGCTGGCTTCTAGTGTCCTTTTAATTGGGAGGGGGGGGGGGGTGTTCCAATAGTTTATGTCGGCATAAAGGCTACACAATTTCGTGGAATTCATTTTCTTTATCGCTTTACCTCCTGAATTTTCATTTCCAAAGAATTTAGTTCAAGTGGAAGTAATTTTTGTAATTAACTTGCTTAAAGCTAAAACAAAGTCCTTGAAGAATATTCTATGCCCGAAATAATGAGCATAGAAAACTGATCTGTACTTAGTGACAGTTAATGATGTAGCAAGTAATCCTGGTCAATTTCAATATTGCCTGAACTAGCAAAAATACTTGCATAGCAATTAATCTGTTTTCTCTTTTCCAAGGACTTTGTACATACAAACATAAATCCTCAACACTCTAGATATCATGCATTCGATTTGGGCAAGAGAGCTTTCAAGTGCCAATACGTAAAGAAGAAATTTTTTCTCTCACTATTTTGAACCCCGATTCATTCAGCATTTTGGCTAAGGTTCTGTTCCATTTGTTTAAATTCTTAGCAGATGCCCAGTATACTTCTTAACAAAATTAGATCCGAACCAAACAGACGCACTCTTTATTGCAAACGAGATTCTAGTCTTTCTGCCTGAGGAACCAGTTTAGTTGAGTAATTCTTGAGTTTCTTGCAGATGTTCATCTGATACTAATTACCATAACATAGAATGAGGATTTTGTCTCATCGCAAATTCGACGATCAAAATGCTTTATTCCCCACTTATCACCTGCAACACGCAAGGTTTTGCGTGGTGGCTTTTAAGAACTTAAAATTCAAGCTCGGGTTATAACAACGACTTTTGAATTTCTAGGTTTTTTGTATTTATTATTCTGAAAAATTTATAACCAAGAACGCGTATATGGCTAACAAAAAACGTGGATCTGCCAAAACATATCTGCGAAATCCCTGTGTTCCGGAGGATTTTGTGATTTGACAAAAAGTACTGTATCATAAAACACTAGTTTTTTCTTCAGATAATATTACTATGACCCCCTTGGTTTACATTGCGTTTTATACTTTGTGGTTTTTTTCCAAATAGACAGAATAAATTTTTGCACTCCTTGCTATTTTTACATAGAAAGCAGGAATTAAGGAACACATTCATTCGTATCGGCTTCAGACCCCTGCTTTATGACACTATCATAAAAGAGGACTCTTCCTTTCCTATTTCATTCGTTCATTCTTTGATTCTTGTTATAGTTTTCTTAATGTTTTTTTCAAAAGCTCCCTAGTTCTGAAACAAACACATAAAATCGAGGAAACGAATGCTTAAAGCTAAGCAGTGTGCACTATAGACGGTTTTCTTTAGTGATATTTAATTTTGTCTGAATATTCTCCGACCTAAAGTGATTACGAAATGGCAGAAGCTGATTTTGAGAGCTTCTATGTAAGACGAAGTTTTATCTTGTGTGTTTAAGAAGATGTTAAGTTTGCCAAGGTACATCAAGACTCTTACTGCTAGAAATTCACCTTTTCGCTTTGTTCCTTCAGCCTTCGCTCGGACTGTCGCCGCTTTCACCGTTAAAAAGACATGGCAGTGCCAACTCTGTTTCTGACATAAAAGAGAAAAGATCAGATTTTACAAAGGTGTGTCACTTGTTCTTATTGCTCGTTATCATAGCGGTCTCAATCATCGAAATGAAGCTACCTAGCTTTTCCAGTTTATTGTCCACCGCGATCTCAATGCAACAGCTCTTTATCCATTCTTTATTGATTTGGGCAAATTTCAAGCATATTCAGTTTTTACTATTTAAACCCTTTCATATCATCGAAATCATAAAAGCTGTACACTGGTATATAGTGGAAAATGCTTTTCACCGAACCGGCACCTTCAATTTTCTTACTGTGCAAGTCATTAATGTGATATTTTCTGATTCATCTTTCTAAATGGAACTGTTGTGAAAGTTACCCAATAGTATTGTGATATTATTTACTGCAAGTTTTGCAGGCGTCAAGTTACGTAATATGCCTCTATTCAGCTAAAGATTAATTTTTGATGTTGAGAATCACTTTCCGTTAACTAATTTGCCAATTCTGTTCATCATCAGACCAAATATTTGAAGAGTATATAATTTTCAAGGCGTTAAGACTCACCAATTGTTGTTAATGTATTAAGATTCGACGTCTTTAGCGTCGTTCAATTTGATGTATTAATGTAAATCAGCAAAGTCGAGCAATAGTCATCTTAATGCTAATAAAACTATTGTCATTAGCTGAAATTTTCTGATGCTTCCCTGGCATGATTATACCTCGTTGAATGCTTTATAGAAAAAGAAAAAGCACTGCTTACTAGTTCAGTATTTTGGTTGAAGCAAATTTTTGTAAAAAAATAAAGGCAGGAAAATAGAGGTTTTTCTTAGATTGAATGAATTAATTTTTTTTTCCTTTTCCATTATTCTTTTCTTGTCTTTTGTATAGAATTTCTGAGGTTTTATTCAATCTATAGGAATTCAGTTTGAGTAGCAGCTATCGCGGGGAATGTGAAAAACCGATCTGTGAACCTCTAGGTATGATTATCATGTTTAGTTTTATTTGAGTCAGGTTTCCATATAGCTTTTATGCATTGGCGACACATCGGCGATGATTCTTCTCAGCCTTGTTTCTCTTCAGCGATGCATTGACGACCCTCTTAACCCAGGCCATTTAGGGAGCCTTTTGACAACAAACCGTGCCTAAAGGCGGGTTTCCACTTTATTCGCTCTCGTCGCACGACTGAGCGAATGCATATTGGGGCATGCGCAAATTAAACTTCCTCATTCGCTGCGAATGCGCGACCATTCGCTGAGTAGTTCAACTCAGTTGAACTACTGGGCGACTGGTCGCGTTCGCCGATACGCTGACTTGTTGATTCGATTTCGCCAAGTTGCGCGACCAGAGCGAATCAAGTGGAAACTGGCCTTAACGAGTGGGCATCGTGATTGATAATGGTTTTGATTGGCTAGTGTCGGTCATATGTTCACACGGAGTTGCCGACATGTTGGCGATGCATGTTTCCATTAAAATTTTCAGTCATCGCCGACATCGCCGACAGAAAAAAGTTACAACAGATTCAACTTTTGCAGGGCATCGCCGACACGTCGGCGACAACCTTGTAGGAGTGTTTCCATTAAACTTCAACTCGTCGGCGACCTGTCAGCGATGCATAAAAGTTATATGGAAACTAGGCTCTACAAATTTTTCTTGAAAAATTTGCCAACTTTTTTACATTAATATGAGACCTTCTCTGTACTATTGGCACTTGCTACGCTTTAAGAATCTTCGTGCATCGAAGCAAGGCTGCAAGGATGATATTGGATAGCACTGCCGGAGCAATTTCATGTTAGCATTCTATCACTAAGTAACTTACGAAATGAGTGGGTTAGGTTTAAATTTTTGAGTATTGTTCAACTATCTAGATCTAGTTAATGTCAATTGGCATTAAGGGAATGACGGAATTTACGCATAACGGAAAGCAATCAACGCAATAACAAGCTGATTCTGATGTCTGGTATTGAGCAGGTAAATCACGTTAAAAGGAGGGGGATTGCAGGAACAAGGCTTGACACAGCTAACTAAAACAAGTGTTACCACTAGAACTGAAATACCTTATACTTCTAATATTAATTTTAACGGCACCAGTTTAGGAAGTTCAAGTGTAGTATGCCCCCCATTGTTCTCAGAATCTCTTTTCATGGCCACGATATTCATGCATCGTTGATTCAATGCACAAATAAACAATCAGAATGAAGAACCACAATAGCGTAATTTCCCTGAGCATCATGAAGGGGACAGACTGCCTGTAAGATATTCATAAACTAGAAATAGCTCTTGCTAGTACTGCCCGCAAACAATTAGTTCCTTGATAATGATTGTTTTGAAAATGTAGGTCAGGATATTCGAAGAAGACACCATCTTGGGTTTTCACAATTCTATAAAAACAGCTGCTCCAGTTGATGCTAAACTCAAACCGCATACTCTATTTTATTATTGTTTGTGGTTCTGTTGCAACAAATCTCCTCATTTGCAGATATTGTTTTTATACAAGCTGTTTCACATTTATCTCTAACATACCGAGATATTTATTTCCTTCTTCATGCATACTTTTCAATTGTTTCACCATTTGGCATTTGTAAACCAGTGCTTTTCGCACCTTTTCCCAAATTTCTTTGTTACCATTCCACACTTCTGACCCCCCAAAATCATGTCCCCGCTCAAAACATTGACAGTTATTACAAGTGAGTCAATCTAACTTTCATTCTTTGCGAATAACTTGAAATCATCCATGAAAAGATGATTCACTTTTCATTTCCCCTTTTCGAGAAGGTTTCAAGCCACATACTTCCTCAAAATCATGGACATCAGTAAGTCACAAATAAGAGTGGTGACAGAGAATGGGACAGGTAGTCATCTTGAAAAATTCTTTGCTCAGTCTTTACTCCTCCTAATTCCTCGTTTCCTGATTTTAACCTAGTTCTCCAACATAGTATGATTTTTCTTTTAGTTCATTGATATTCTCCAACTTCTATTATGTCAAGGCATTCTGTTATCCTTGAATGCGGTATCACATCGTAGGCTTTGCGATAGTCAATCCATGCAATGGACAAGTCTTTAGGTCTTCCCTTACAATTTTTGATAATGATCAAAAAGTATCTGATCTTTTATGGCTCTTGCCTTTCTTTACCCCTCTTTTGTTAATCTGGGAACAACTCCCTCTCTTCCATATAAGAATAGATTTGGTTTGTAGCTATAGCTGTCAATACCTTCAACATAAATCGTAAGCATGAGATCGATCTGTAGTTTTCTACAGCATTACCTCTACTTGGGTCTTTCAAGCACAGCACTGTTTTTCTTGTAGTCATCCATGTCGACACTTTACCTTACCATTTTACGGTATTCCCGTTCTTGTACTAACACTGGTTTTGCTTTATTCAGCTACCGCTGTACCACTGGACACCGTGAACATTCTCGGGAAAAGTAAGCTCTCCAAGACACTGTCAGGCCCAGCGACCACGAGTGCGAGCTCTCAGACCGCCGTCTTGTCTTCGCTGCAGAATTTCGCTGCATCAAAAGACAAGGAAATGCAAAAGCTACCCGCTGCCCACGATAAGGAAAATCGTGAAGCACCTGTGTCGAAATTTGTTGGATCAAAAAATGTTGGACAGATGGGGTCGTTGATAAAGGATGAAAGTGGAGTTAGTGCTATTGGTGCTCAGGAACCGGAAGCTTCAAAGGAAAGTCAACGTGAATTACAAAAGAAAGGCCCGCTGAAGCTGGAGCCCCAGAAACAGCTCAAAGAGCCGCTCAAGGCTGGTGCCCAGGCCCTCAAAGAACGAATAAGCAGTTTTTCAACGTATCGTCCACGTGGGAAGACTATTTCCGCCTACCCAGTGTCAAAGATTCCCCAAACTGGGGCCGAAAATAAAGACAGACTGACGTTGCCAGACAAGGGTTTCAGGGCGTCGTTGAATCCCTACTTTGTGTTTCTTCAATTCTTTTATTCACCATTCGTCAATGCTGGGGGTAGTGGTAGGCCTTTGCTGCTTGGTTGTGGAGAGGTGTGTTTGATTATTTTAGTACTGTACCGCGTGTTGAAGGTCTTAACTGGGAACTATCAGCCACAAACGACTGTATGGGTAATCTATGAGTCGTTATGAAACAATGTAAGAGTCGTTTGCGTGTAAGTCAAATAGCTGGTTTCATTAGTTAAGTCGCCTGCTTTTAATCCTGATGGTCGCTTGTTTGATCGAAAAGGACTTCTTGTAATTGTCAATATTTTTCCAATCAATTCTTGAATGTTAACGCAGGACATAGATAGATTTCTATCATTAGAGTTGTTTACCAGTTTAAATTATTCATGTCAATAAAGAGGCTTTTGGGCAATCAAATTTAAGTCTAATCATGTTACTTTATACGGGTATTGGATAAATAGCCAATTTTGTTATGTCTGCTGTTCCCCAACATTCGAGTCAAAGAGCTTTATAGTAACTTTCTAAAGGCTGTTCTTAATGACGCATTGCTAACAATCAGCCATTGCGCTACGCAAGCATCCCATAATTCATTTTCGGACAGTCTTAAATCACTTTTAGTTAATCCGTAGAAGTTTATTGCCATTATTTGGATCGTCGCCTGGACAATTTGCCAACGCACGCAAAGGCTCATTGTTAGCAATGAGTCTTTAAGTTCAAAAATATTGATTTGAAATATAATTTAAAGCACCGTTTCCAAGAAAGAAACATGCATTTCTGCTGTTATGATTTGTTTTACTTTGTAGAGTGTTGTATTTGCAAGGACCGTTAGACCCTTACCTTTAAGATAAACATTTTATGTAGATCAAATTGCAGTTCAAAGTATTCAAGTTCTGTCCTAAAAAGAAAAAGAACTTTCGTCTCAATTGCTCATAGGTATAATTATGAATAACTTCCATTGCAGGTCATTGATAGAGCTGTGAGGATGCTTGATCGAATCCCGCCGTATGACCATCACAAAATAGGTGTTCTCTACGTTGGCCCTGATCAGGAATCAAATGAAACCGCTATTCTAGCCAATCAGTTTGGCTCGCATAGATACCTACAGTTCCTGAGTGGCCTTGGAAAACTAACAAGTTTATTAGATTGCTCTTACACCGAAGTGTACACCGGAGGCCTGGATCGAAATGGGGAGGATGGGAAATTCGCGTATTCATGGAGAGACGATATTACCCAAGGTTTGTGTAAGCTCAATACTGTATCTTGTTATGTTTGAGTAAGGTTGAGGCTCCTATACAATCGGTACATGGGGGAGGTTCCTGATAGAGAAAATAAGATTATCGTCATGATATATTGTTAAAATGATGACGCACAATGAATCCGGTTCGATATTAATTGATGGAAAGAGCTTCGTAATCGAAGTTGTTTGGGAACACGGAAAATAATGAATTTAAGCACAAACTCTTTTAGGGAGAGAAGAGCTTTTGTTCCTTTTTTGTTCCGAAGCTATTGTTCGCTACTTTTTGTATATTTTTATACTGAAACTTTTTGGAAGCCTTTGGTATCCAAAAAATCTTTCTATTTTTTCATATCTTTTTGTGGTATTTTTAACAATAAAGGTACAACGCACTAAGGCTGGAGCAACTTCTTTGTTTGATCCGCTGGCGGTTTCTTAATGACAGCGCATTTTATTTGAATGATGTGCAGGTCACTATTTGAATCTCAAAGCTGTATTTGAATGTCACGCGGAAAATAGTTCGTCAGATTTTTTATAATTACGAACATAAAGAAAACTAGGGTGCACTGTGATGGCGTCGCCTAGCAAAGTGACGCTGCCTATTCTTAATTTTTCATTAGGCTCTTAATCAAAGGCTTTTATCTCGGTTATATTTTACCCTTTGGGACATACTGTGATTTTAAAAGGACTTTATAAATTCTGTTTTATTAGCCAAGCCGACAAATCATTTCTCTCTCTGTTCTTCTTATTTGAAATTTTCTTTCTTCAATGGTCCGTAATTCGCTTAGCCATGGCGTAGCACTGTCTTCGCTTTCTTTTGAGCAAAGGTTCTAGGAAATGAGTAAGCTTTTACACATGTCAAGTCTAAACAGGCAAATCCTTGGTCTGATAGAGATAAGTCTAGTTGCCTTATCTTTGCACTATAGTCCAGGTAAAAGTAGTAGCAATTTTTTACCAAACTGATCGTCATCATAATAGCATGCTTGATACTATCATTTAACTAAGGACCCAAGTACTGATATGACACGCCTTGATGCTCTGTGTATTTCTGTGTATTTTGTTAGCAATGTCTGTTTCTTTTAAAGCCTGGTTTTCGATGTCTGCTAGTGATGTCTGTTACCAGCATTTAAAAGTTGTCACGAATGCTTCAGTGGCTTTATATTCTTATTCACTGTTTAATAAAAAAATGTAGTGCCAGTTTTACATTTGAAAATTGTTTCGGGTGTTGATTCTACTCACAGAAGCACTTTAGGGATGCTGAAATTGTGTTAATACCCTTTTGTTCTTAGAGAATGTTGTTCTGAACTTTTCAGTTGACATATGTGGCATTCCTTGAGTTTCATGGACACTTTCTTGCAGCTTCTGCTGCATGGCATTTTTGGATCCCTCTTCTCTTTCGCACCATTGAATCAGTCTTGTGCCTTTGGCAGTCTGATTAAAAAACACCTCTATTCAGCGTGGAGCGATATTTTATAATTGCCACATTAGCTATTTTAAGTTTGCACTGTGCGTTACTGGGACAGAGAGAGACGAGGAACCGTGGACATGTCGTCCAAACAGTTAGCACTATTGTTATAGAGAATGTGGGGATGTGACAACCCTTTGGGAATGTTCTGCTTCAAAAACAAAGGGCCTTTTTTATCTAGGAGTGCTTCGTTGGCAAATTTTCAACCTTGTCGGCAAATAAAGGATGGCTCACCCACTCTGTCGGAAATAGGACCAAGAAACCCCTCTTGAGCACAATAGATAGCGACGGCTCTGAAAACGCTTCCAGGTGAAAGAAAACAGATTGCTTATCTTTTCCCAGCGAAAAGGAGACTGATCTTACCTGACAACAAGTTTTCATCAAATGGACTTTTTATTTGTCAGTTTTGTTTTACTTTTTTTCGTGCACTGTTATCATTTTTGGCCTTTATTTGACATTTTTATATGTCTTCTATACTGTATACGGTATTATCACAGATAAAAGTCCTTATGGACTTGTTCGGTTTAACTTTTGGAAATCTCTGTTGAAGATTTCTTGCCACTGTCTCGAAACAACGAATATGTAAACCTCTTCAGGCGATATACGCAGGATAAAATAATCATCTTGGGAAAATTTCTCTTAATCCCGATTAGACGAGAAAATATCCTAAATGAAGTTTAATGCTGCAGCTGCTGAATCTGGTATTAAACAAACTAGAACTGTTTTCACTCTAAAGCGTTATGTTTTTACATTAATAATTGCATTATGGTCCGTTGTCCGTGCAGGTCAATTCCAACAACTTCTGATGCTTCGGAGGTTTGAATACTTGCACTTAGAAAGACGGTCAACTGATGACACAGGCTTGTAGCTAGTATGAAAAAGGATTTCATTTTACAGAAAGCCAGGGTAAAGTTAAGATACAGACGATAACAATTACAATCGATAAACTATGTTTAAACAACCAGATGTATTCTGCACGCATAAATATGCCCCTCAAAGAAGACTACATTATGCCCTTACTTACATGGGTTAGAGTAAACAATTGATCTCTCATAGATCTGTGTATGGGTTAATCGAGAGCCTTTAAGTACAGAGAAAGGGTTCAGAGCGACGTGCCCTATGACACCAACAACCTTTGACATTTGATTTAAAATTCTATATATTATAAATAAACTAATAATTAGACCTTGATCAGGAGTTTCTAAATTATTACCACAGTTCTAAATCACAACTATCGAGTGACGCTTCTAAGCCTTGTAAAGCCATTCTTTACTGGTGAAATTATGAGGCTTCGACATCTTCCTACGGCGTTGCAGAACTCGAGTGCAACTGAATCCGTCCACGGGGACGCGAAGAACCCTTCTAAGAAGCCGCAATGACCTCCTGTGTCTGTAACCACTTCCAGGCAGTATGGGTTATTTCTTAAGACCACATATGCCGGGATCTTGTCATCTAATACCGGGTCGTCCAGTGAATTGATAAACAGTGCTGGCGTGCGTATGTTCCTTATGAATGTCATTGGATTGTTTATTTTCATCCACTCACTGAAACCGTCGTATGGGCTCGTATCCCAATGCGACAATTGGAGAATATCATGCAAAGAACCGTCAGTGTCGTGATCGCCTTGCTTTTCGCGGAAATGCATGCAAGTACTCTCTCTAACAAGCTTTTTGTAATATTGATTCACAACTTCTTTGTACGGCTTTTTGAGACCAGAGGTAAGTACCATCTCCAGATCTAGGGATGATGACACAAATACTGCTGCTGTGATTAGACTAGACTTTCCGCGCTTTCCCAAGTAGCTGAAAATGGGACCGGCGCCGAGCGAGTACCCTACGGCAAACAAGTCACTAAAGGGACTTACATTGTGAATATAGTCAAGTGCCTCCTTGAAATCGTCAGCATCCAGAAATGCAGCAAACTGCCTTGTTGTTAAGGGTACATTGTGGCCCCGACTGTTATAGACGACCGGTTGGAATCCTTCTTTGTAAGAAGCCTCACAAATAGAGTAAACATCTGGCCCGAGAGCCCATGTACTGATGATCAATATCGGGTCTGTGTTGGAACGAGCGCTTTTTATGTCCCGTGCTTCTGATTCAACATACCACTGAAGCGAGATAGTCCCACCATCTCTCATCTGTATATATTCTGTTTTGAACTGAAACCTGTGGTTGAAAAAATGGCCCAAACATCCTAGAATTGTCTGTATATGTGAATTCGTCGCCCAGAGTGTTGGTTGATATCCTGCTTTTAGTTTCTCGCATAACGACAGTATAGCAGTGTTCCGTTTGTTTTTCTTCCAGTACAGCTTTGAAGAGCTGTTTTCGTTATGCTTAGCTCTTAAAAAAAGGCAGCACAAAAAGAGGAGCAATGTTAGCAGAGCCTCGATGACCATTGCTTTGCTCTGATTTCTATCTCGTCACGTATTCGACTGGTAGTGCGTAGACCTATCAACTGGACAAATCAACTGTTTCCACGCATCACAGAGGTCTTTATATCAATATGTCGACGTTGCTCTCAAGAATAAAAAACCTTTAGATGTGTCGGTAGTACCTTGTCGGAAAGGCTTCTGCACTGTCTATCACTTTGCATTAATAATTCAGAGATAATAAGTTATTCATAGAGAGATGTTTCTCTGTTTTGCTTGACCCCAGCTCCTTAAGCAGTTCGTTCAAGCCGCTTTTACCCTCCTATTTTCTTCTGGCTTTCACCGTTAAGCGAGTTCACGCTCTATGACCTCATCTCAGATAGCTAGTTTTCTCCACAGGAAGATTGCCAAACCTCTCTTCAGTCATACTTGCGCTGTCAATTTGATCATCTGCGTTTTAAGGAAAGACGCTGACAGCACAAAAGCCTGTTGCAGCCTTCTTTTTACTTATGGATGATTAGAACCATGATGGCAGCTTCGTTTCACTATCAAAAAGAAAATTTATATCCGATTAGCGCAGAAAGGTTCTCTACGTCTGCGGGGAATAAAACTAAGATGATCGAGTTTAAGAATATTATATTCCGTTCGCCTGTCGATTCCCGTTCAAAAACACCTTGCTACAACCCACTCTTTTTATTATGCTCTAACTGTTTTTCCTTGCTGTGAAATAGAGGCTTTCCGTTTCGTTTCCTTATCTTCTAAGCACTTGCAAGAATTCGCTGCTGATTTTTAACCGTCGACGCGCAAATCACTCTCAAATAACTACGATATATTGTAACTCCCATGACTGAAAAACAAGGCATTGGCTTGACTAGCGAATGAATTGGTTTTTAAAAAGTCCACTTTGTTTTACCAAAGCATGTCATTAAGTTAAGAAGATTTTGTAGGCAAAATACGAACTTCTCAAGCATATATTAGTTTATCTCTAGATACACCCAGCTTTAAGCATAAGCCTGATTTGTGAAACAATCGACAACACGTGCTCTCATTGAATTTGATTTAAACCCAATACCGAGTATTATTCGGAAAGAAGTTATTGTAGTTCGTAGGAGTCCTTCGCATTTACTACGGAAGCGATAGACAGGAACAAAGCAAAATGATAAGGAAAATCAAATATAAAATATAACAATTTTAAAAACCTTAGATTGGAAATAAAATATCTTAAGAAGGTTATCATCTCTACTATGCGTCTTCCGTGGCTGTTTTCAAGCTAACATAAACCCGAATTGCCATTTATCTGTTTATATTTCGGTTCTTGGATTTACTGGCTCTTTGAATGGTTTTCCTAAAGGCAGAAAAAATACGGGGGAGATTCCAGAGATAACGACATATTCAAGTGATTATTTGTGGTAATGATGCACGTTTCAACACTTGCCGCTGTGATAAAGTCGTCGACATAAATACAAATCTATCTTTTGTGATTTTATTTGCTGTAGATTTTGACTTGATATGAGGGACGGTATAACTTGACTTCTACAGCAAGCTTATTTTAAAGCAAAAAATAAATGTTTTCGAGAATTTCTTCAGGAGGATATCCGAAAATGCCGGGTTCAGCTCGTCATATAGTAACAAATAACGAATGTTTGAAAATCAATAAATTTGTCCGTCTAAAGAATTTCAACTTGTCTATAGATAGTTCTAAATAACGCTTAGTAGAACGGTAATGGCGTAAAAGCTCTAACTTAAAAGTATTGTTGTTATTATTGGCAAAGCCGGCAATCTAAAGATATTCCAAATTTCTTCCCTTGTTACAAGAGCAAAAGAAAGTGTAACCTATTGGAGAAACCCTAGGAACATAATTGTTGCCACCAATGCGAAAAATTTCTTGAACGGACTTTTCTTCTTCCAGGTGCACATTCTGCATTATAAACTTTATCGATTTTGATTATGGATGCAATTAGTTAGCGATGTGAACTTGTTCTGCTTAGTTTGACTGCTGACTGGCGATGTTGACTTGCCATTCTCAATTCAACGTCAATAAATCTGATTCATTCCTGAGTTTCGCTCTGATTAATTATGTCTCAACACGTTTTCTAAACTTGCTATAATTAGGTCTTGGTTGAAAGAGAAAACGAAATGCTTTAAATCGATATCATGTTTAGAACTTAATCTTCAAGCAGGTCCTTGAAAACCCACTTAGCTGAGGATAAATACTGAAATTATGGTTTTTTGCAGAAATTTTTTGAAAAAGTCCTTTTACCAACATAATTAAAACACTTTCTCTCATAGTTTACAATCCTCCAATACCCGTCTAGAAACATTTTTCTCAATGCTATGAGATTTTCCCTCTAGTTTGCAAAAGTATCAAAATACAATATTGTGTTCATTCGTATTGTGTAATATTTAACAAATTTTTGCTTCACCGATTTTTTCCATGTTTCGAAGTTTCATATCTACGAAATACTGCAAATCTTTCTTCAAGAAAAAAGTATGTAGAATCTGATAAAACCCAGGTATCACTTTTCTAGATCTCTAAGTCTTTTTTTTCTCTACCACTTTTTCCTTTCTGATCGATTTAAATGTAGAAAAATGCGGATATAATTTTTAGACATGAAAGTTTTACCAACATCAGACTACAGTTTTTATTTTGACAGTAATATATAACTCACCCATATATAAAAGTGAATTGTGACAGAGTTGACTCCTGTTTCAGCGGCAAGCAATTGGTGAAGAGTGATCTATAACTATTCTTCGTTAGTCTCTAGTCGACGTAAAACGCTTTAAGATGCTTTAAGCTAGCCCAATCATTTCGCAAAGCAATGGAAATTTCACATCTTTACTGTTCATTGTTTACATTACTGGCAGGTCGACCATTGTACTGTAAAATGTAATGAACCAATTTACCTGCAGACAAGACCAAGGAAAGAAGCTGGAAAAAGCTAGTATTGATATACATATTAGGACGTGCCACGGGGGTTTATAACACCAGCTTTTATGTATTATTCATGTATTTTTCTATTGTCTCGTGACGTTATGTTACCAGGGGGCTAGAAGCCACACGTGAAAGCTTTTTGGTTTGACAGCAGTAAGGTGATTGGCAGAATTTGCTGCTGCCTGTTCACATCTGAGTTAGATATGAATTTAGGTAGCAAGGATATGACAACAGGATCTAAACATCTAAGCAGCTGATATAATTTTCAAGGATGGAAGGAGGGGGTTTCAATAAGCGTTGTTCCAATTTTTTTCACTGTGCGATTATTTACATTTGAATCCGCGTTTTGGATACTGCTTTCTCTCATTGTGACATCGTGGCTCCGGTAAGCGAACAGAAAATTGGCTGGTATTTAGTTTAACAAAACTAGAAGATTTTAAATTGCCAAAGAATAAAATATTATCAAGCCTGTCACCCTCTGATCTGAACATGTTGCAAATGGGTGTTTACACCCGAGAACCTGTTTTGTTCGATAGTAATTGAATGATATCGATAGTCGTTTGCTCTCACATTAGGTTGTAACTTTTGACTAAAGGTGATAGGTTTACGAGCATGTAAAAGTGGCCTTGAAAAGAGCAAACATTCTAAAGACACACTTAAGCTTTCTAGCTGACACTCAAATGTCAGATTAAATATCGAAGATTCTAGGCTTGGAAATATATATACCAGATGCAGATATGAATAGTCCATTTTTAGTTTTATGCCATCAAAATATGAATTAGGATCAAAATTGCTTGTTATTATTTTTGCTCTTTTAAACCCTTGCTTTTTGGCAAGGGCTAAGTACATGGAGCGAGCTGGCCCGGTCGCCAGGGCTGGCCCAGACCACTGCACTGAGACTTCTGAACGACTAAATTGAGAGCGCCAGCTCAGCCTGAAAATTGGCAGTAAAGATTTCAGAGGATAGATTAATTTTAATCATGGCAGCAGCGCTCGCCAGGCAACCGTTTCAACTATCGTGGCTTTGATTCAACAGTTTGGGTTGTTTACATGGTAGTTACTTCAGCTTCATTAATTGTTTACTTCGTACTCATTTGTATTTGTACAGTTCTTGGAGTAAATCTTCGACCATTTCCTCAGTCCCCTTGAATCTAAAAACATCTTTATCTATGATATTCTTAATATAATCTTGGAATTCACAGCCCACATTGAAGGCTCGCTTGTCTTGAATCGATAACATGAGCAAAAGCGTTCAATTTCAGTGCGATTTGTCAGGCTAGCCAGGCTAGGCTAAACAGAAGAGGGGATCCCGGCTAACCGGGCTAGCCCGTTTTCCATGTAATCGAAACTTGTAATCCTAACCATGTAATCTAAACACAGAACAAGCTGGTGATACCACCAAAAAAGTTCCTCCTTTGTTACCCGGGCCAGCCCACTCCAGGGATTCAGCCCTTTTGTTGAGATTTTTTGCAGACCTCTCCATTTTAATATTCACTTGCATGTAAACATGGCCTTTTATCAAAATTCAAAAAGTTTAATTTTGTTTTACTTAAGCAATGTATTTATATTTATAAATTTATCGATTTATGTTATATATAACATAGTCTGACAGGTAAAGTTGGCAGGGGGAGGGGGGGCATTATTTCCTTGTTCGGAATCGAATTACAGTTTATCTGAAGAATCTTTCAGAGGAACATTATAAAGTTGCGTTTTTACCGATTATATTTTTAAATCCAGAAAACTTTGTAGTAGAGGGCTATTGAGAATCATTTTAAGTGCTAATGAGTTAAGAGCTATTGAGAAGCCTTTGTAGCTAAATTAACACTTTGTGCTGTTCGAATTGTCGTTGAGCGTTTTGATTGATGCAGCTCCACGCTGGTCATTTTCTTGCTGAAAAAAGTTGATGCTTCATTTTATATAGAAGCTGTTTTGATTATTTACTAATAGCTTACGGGCATTAATTTTTCATATTTGAAGCCCTTAGTATAATGACAAGTCTCCGCCTTTTTGAAGGAAAAAAGCATGCTCTCAAAACGTCAGCATGCATTTCGAAAGTTGCACAACACGTTGACCTCACTACTCAATGTCACTGACTTATGGTTCTCAAATGCCGATAAACGAAAGATATATCATCATCACCATCATCATCATCATAAAAAATTAATAAGCAACAATTTACAGCAGATTAAACAACAGAAGCAACAATAGATATATAAAAGATGCGAGAGTTAATAGTGTACAACCAAAAGCAATGAATGAAAATCTATGCCTAGCAATGGAGTTTCGATTCATTTTTACAGAAGAGTTTCCATTTTTTTGCGTTGTCTGAATATTTCTCTTACAAACTTGGCAACATTTGTTGTTAGTTTATTGTGTTTACTTATCCTCATCAAAGAATCAAATTTATGATCTGATAGATATCGGGTAAAATAATCAGGTATGTAGTTTGTTCTTGAATCTTTCAAAGCAGGGCATTTAAGTACTACATGATACTCATCTCCAATCTCGTTTGAAGAACGCATATCACATTTCAGTGATTCTAATCAATGTTTATCCATCGATTAGAATCACCCAGTCTCTACCGGTAACCTATGATTCAAAGTTCTGAACACCAACAAAGATATTTCGATAGATTGGTTGGTAGTACATTCAAGTAATTCTCACTTTCAAAACCCGAATGAATGAATTGGTCTTTAAGGTTCAATTTAATTACTGCAACTAAATTTTCAGGGCTATTAAAATATACGTGCTCCAAATAGAGGATAGTCCTGAGCTATCGAGGATATTTTTAACATACGTGACCCATTTAATATTTTCGTTTTTAGCTAAACTACTATACAAGATATTTGTTAGTTTGATTTTTTTACCTCTGACTATGTTGGCCCAAAAACCAATCATTCTTAATTTATCGTTATGGATACTGGTAATCTCCCTAATTCCCTATCATATACCATACAATTTGGAGTGGACTTTTCAACGCTCAAAATTATTTTGTAATACTGCAGTTCTAGTTGATCTAGTAGGTTTGTTTTCTCAATCCCCCATACCTCTGCTCCATAAGGTATAATCGGAATGACCAATGCATCAAAATTTTCAGCTGTATATTTACCTTCAAGCTCATATCCCTAGCTCTGGAAATTACATATCTTATAGCCTTGCCTGTAATCTTATGTGTCTGATTGCACCGAGAAATCTTCCATAAGTCTTAAAGATGACAATTAGATATTTAAAGGTGAAAATTAACTTGACCTCAAATGAAAGCATTTCGAGCATAAATAGCTGAGACATTATCAGTTTTTTAATATTCAACACAGTTTTCGAGTTATTGAGCGTCAAAGTTAGCCACCGAACAATTTTCCGAGCAGGTACGAGTTTGCCCGACCCTTCCGCATAATCGTGACGTCACAAACACCATGTTCAAATCACTTGAGCAGCACGACAGTCTAGAAGGCCGCAATTTTATGATTTTGCGGAAGAGCATCGATACATTAATTCAGTAGGTTTTGGCTCCATTTCGGCAACCTGCTTGGAAAATAGATTATAACCTCTTTGCAAAGCTTTCATAATAAGATTTGAGGCCCTTCCTCTGTCTCGCAGGACCCAGTGTGTGGCGGGCCAACATATCAAATAAAGGTAGCGATATATAAATTGGTAGGGTTTTTATTTTCTAGAAACCCAAGTATAATACTTTCATTTTTTTAAAGGCGGCTGCTGTTAGACTAATTTTTCAGGGCTGCCCCCCCCCCCCCAAAGAAAGTTAATATCGGTCTTTGATCCTGATTAACTTCAATATACGCAGTAGAGATTTCGAATTTAAGTCACTCTTTTTCGGCATATTTTTTATTCAATCACATCAAATATTTTTAGGGGTTACGAACCTGGCACGGTCGAGTCGCTATTTGCAGAAAAACAAAATTTAAACTCCCAGGCCGCTGCACCCCTGTAACTCGGGTGAGCCGATGAGTTTGCAAACCCAAAAGTATTATTCATGGTTTATTTGGATGTAGAAAAAATATATCAAAGTAATAATATTTTGGATTTATTCAAAAAAATTGCTAGATTCATGATAAAATAAAAGAATCCTAACATTCGTCCGCAATTCAGATGTTTTGTTTGTGCTCCTTGCAAATTTAATCTATATTTTGAACTTGTCCATGTTCATTCTTTCAAGTCGTTTTTTATTATTTTTTTAAAGTTTGTTAATGTTTTCTTCTTGAAGCGTTTTGCTTTCGTGTCTTCTGAAACTGTGCTCTGAAACTGATAGTCTCTTGGTTTTGAACTTGGACCTTATAAGGAAGTTTTGGCTCTTTGTTGCAATAAACCACAATAATGCTACTATATTTTAACATCTCAGTGATTAGTTCACGTTGAAACTACAGAATTTTTTATGCTGGCTATCGCGCTAATCAAAATGTATTTTATGCATATTCAAATGTAACATAACACTGCCTGAGATGTGTTGATGACCGACTCTCAAATTATAATGCAGTCAACGTAAGTCGACTTCATTCTTATAATAAGGGTTTTTCTTTTGACATAGTTTTAGACAAGACAGGGTGAGAGTTTAGACAGGACAGGATGAGAATTTAGACAAGACAGGATGAGAAAACATGGTGAAGTTCTGAAGTACCCTTGACCTGATGTGGAAGCTTTTGTCGTTAAACGTGAGAAATATAACGTGCTACAAACGTTAAACGTGCTACAAAAACATGTCCATTTTCTTTGGAATTAAACAATCTCTTGCACTTCTTTACTAGTCTTGCGCCTCAGCAAAGAGTTTTGGGAGTAAATGAATTTCCCTCTTAATCATAAAATTGCATATCTAGTCTTCAATAGTACTATAATCGTCACGCTTTTTCTAGGATACAGACGTCATCGTCAGTTTACAGCAAAATCCCTCCAACTACATTTGGGAAGCCCCGTTCGATTCACATTGTTGCATGACTCTTTTAATTCACATACATCGTCTCAAAAATGAGCCTTCTCGCTTCATTCACTTTCTTTTGACTACCATGAAATTTTTGCCATGTATAATTTTCTAGGACATAGATGGTGCTTTCTTCCATTTCCTATGATGAGCCATGCAGATTGAATGTCCTTACAGAACTTTCATTTTGCTGTAAAACCTTCCAACACAAGGCTTTACCTTTTCTAGAGAGAAAATAGTCATTGCCATTTCCCGTGAACGCATGAAATTTAATCAAACTTCACTTCTTCTTGAAGGCCATTTCTACTCGCGCAAGAAATAATCTTTTCTTTACGTGAACGTGTGCCGAAGACGCGATACACCTGTTGTTGCCGTTCAATTGTGCTCGATAAAATTAAAAAAATATCTTCATCACGAGAAGGTGAGCAGAAGATAACTTTTTGGATAACTTGAGCTTTAACTATAACTCGCCGAAAAGGTTCAAATACTCTTCTTTCAGAACCTTGACGATATTGCTAGCCAGCTTTTCTGATTTGAAAAATCTGTGAAGGATGAAGTGGCTTGTACACAGCTGATCAGGCACCGCGGAGCGTTGAGAAAAGTGGGGGATCGAAAAAATGTGGGGGGGGGCTAAAACGTTATAAAGAAAGACTTTACTGGTAGTTAAGTACTAAATATTTGGCATTTTTTGCCAGCCCCCTTGCTCCGCGGTGCCTGCTGATGCATTGGTCATTGGTCAGCATAAGAAATTCTGTAGTTTAACGTGAGCTAACCATTAAAGTTTGTAAAATAATTATAGCAACATTATTGTGACCTATTGCAACAAAAAGCGTTTTCAACTGAATGTACTCAATAATTGTTTTACCTATGATTGTGGAGCAAATAATGTAACTTGTGTTGTATCAAAAGAAGTTTTTCTATTTCTCCTCCGTAGAGACATTTGCATGAGTGCTAACTGTTTCACCTAGTTTCACCCCTTAGGTCCCATCAGATCACCGTTCACCGTCACTTTTTTGAACCCCTACATATATGGGTACTTGAGAATAGCCCCTATATATTTGAACCCCTACATATTCGCTTTCAGGTGGTACCTACTTAAAAAATGACTTGATCTATCAGGTGAGATCCGCGAGAAAGGCAGATTGGGCCGCGACAGGTGGGATGGAAAATAACCGTGTAAACACATCAAGTGGGCTAGCCCACTCACTGAATGTCATTGCGGAAATTGGCGCCAAACTAAACCAAATCAAATTGTCGAACGAATCAACAGCAACAGCTCGGGGTGTTCTGCTTAAACGTAGCAAAAACAAAAAATTTTCCGTGATTAAAACTTTTTCAAATTTT